GAAGAGTGAGGATACTTTTGTCCTTTGCAGACCCTACCTTCCTTTGCAGACTTGAAATTCTTTTCTCTAAGACATTATGGTGGTTCTGCCTCTCTCCTCCTGCAGAAACTCTGCTTCTATTTCTCGTAGCTCTTGCTGCTGAGGGAGAGCCAGCTCTGACCATCCCTGTGGTGACACAGCTTGGTTATCTGCCTCCTTGACTCACTTGTCCATCAACATGCAGTTTCAAGCAGTAGCTCAAATTTGCTTCTAAGAAATGACCCTGAAATGAGGACAAATTTACACAAAGATGCCTTCCATCCAATTAACTAAAAGACAAAATTTATTTCTACAGTAAAATAACAGCTTGTTTTCTCATCCAGTGTCACAATGTTTATTCCATACTAAAGCCGAGAAAAATGCTGTAACTAAGAAACAAAAGCCCAAGTATTCATCTGTCCTTATCAGTCATCCAAAACAGGCCAAAAAAAAAATTAAACTGTGGCCTATGTGAAATATAAACCTTTATTTGGGGGCAAGACAGAGAGAATGGAATGACGAGATCAGTATTTTCCGTTCAACATTTCCCAACTTTGTAGAGTGAGTGTCTGAGGACAGGCAAAAGCTTTCAACTTATTTCAAAAGATCTCAAGCCTAAGTCCAAACAATAAGGCACTTCACCTCTTAAAATCCATTTCAGAGAACTGGATCCAAAACCAATAATAATTTTAAGACCTAGACATATTTGCAGATAAGCTGCTGGTAAAACCCTGGAGCTAAAAGCAGACACACGAGTGAACACCATCCAACCAGACTGACCTAGTCCCCCTCAGTTCAACTGCCTTAAATGTGTGTGAACATTGGCCTGAAACCTTTCTTCTAATTTTGCCATTTTGTAGATTTGCAACTCCAGGTGTTGCAACGCCCTCCATCTCTCCTTATTTGAGAGAAGAAAGGTATCAGTTTAAAATACAATGGAATTTTCAGCAAATACACCCACAAACAGTAAACTTTCATTCCCAGTTGTATGCATCCCATATTAAAGATCACCAGAAAGTGCCAACATGGCTTTTGTCTTCACACATGGCAGCATAGAAACACAGCTTCTTCCATCCATGAAATCCCAACAAACACTTTCCTTGACACAGAAACAAAGTTTAAGTGTCAAAGCATGAAGATACCAATCTCCAAATGCAGTATCTTTACTTAGACAAGAGTTATTTTCATAAAGACATATGTATTGACAGAGTTTCACTTTTGTATTTATAGAACTATGCTGGAACTATCTTAATGATGAAGCTGTGGATTTACCTATTACAGGACTGTTCAAGTTGCTGCACTTACATATTCATGGGGGCTCTTACAGCACTGCATTTCTGTCCAGCTCATTTTCAACCCAGTCAGCATGATGAGAGGGTTGCAGGCTGTGCTTTCATTCCATCTCTGATCATCAGTGATGCAGGGCAAGATGCTGAACCTGACTCAATGTCTGAGTCTAGAAAGACTTTGTGCAAAAACACAGGAAAAATGACAACACAAAAGGCTGAAAAAGTTCTGAAGCGTCAGGATACAGAACCACAAACCAGGTTCAAACTTGAAGGAAGGGAAGGAAGGGAACTTCCTGCCCACAAATTATAAAACTGGCATCCTTAAAGCAGTGTCACTGGCACAATTTAGAAAGGTCAAATGCCAGGAGCAGATTTAAACTCATTTTCCACTATACACCATACTTTAATACTTGCATCTTGTAGTAAACCCCAGTGTTGTCTGATACCTTCCTTGCTTATTTCAACGTACAGTGTAATCAAATTTCTTCCTCGAGACGCTTATGGAGCAAAGATTAGTTTGAGAAACATTTCACGAGGAATGTATATTGACTGCAACTAATTCCTACTGATGGAGACGCTAATTAACAAGAATCTAATTAATAACTTGGTTGGGTTTAATCCATATAGTGAACTGGCAACATACACCGGAGAAAAGAGGCAGACAGGGCAAGAAAAAAATCACACGACAGGCACTTTCAAAGTGGTTCACAGATATTTTAGATGTTGCCCAGCCATCCTTAACTTTTGGTCTCATCTACTTTCCATCTCCCTCCAGGCTTCTTTTCTGCTCCCTCTCATGCAGGGTCTGTCCTCCACACACAGTGCAAATTACTTTGGCTATTCCAGTTTTCAGCTCAAAGATGAAAAGGCCTCCCCCCCTTCCCACATGCACAACATTCTTCTAACAAACACAAGATTCTGCAAATTTTGCCTTTCACTGTTATTGAATGTCCTCGAGCATCAAATGCAGCAAGAGAGCATGAAAGGGAAAGAAAGTCTCCTTAGTAACACCATTTTTATTGCCAAGTTCCATTTACAAAGAAAGGTCTATTCTTCATCCTTGTCCAGGTTTTCAATAGCCACGACACATGACCAATGCCAGCAAATACAGACTCAGCCATAGAAATCTGGATTTCAGAAACATACACAATATTTTCTAATTCCACTCCCTTTCCAGACACTTATTTACATTCTTCTTTAAATTAACATAAAATATTGTCACATATACTCCAACTGTCTAACATAACTTATATTAAATAATTAATACTTATTGCCTGTAGAAAGACATTTCAGAATTCAGTTCACCCCATTTTTGGGCTTTTTTCCCTGTAAATGTAAGTGCATGTTCAGGACTTTTATTTTTTTTTTTCTTAAATGAAGTACATTTCAGACACAACTTTATTGAAACATATTTCATAGGAGGACAGTCCATGTTCATGAAATGTTTTATGTAGTGTTTAAATCCCAGGTACATTCATTCTTCTAGAAAAATACATTTCTCCCCCTTTGCACTTAAAACAATCAAACTTACAAAACAGCTCAAAATGAAATAAAAAGTTTGCTACAGAAATATCAACAGAGCTATTCACAAGTGGAGATATCTAAAGTTATCTTCTGAAGTTTATAATGCTTCCAGCAGGTTCCTTAGAACTGTGACAATGTGTTATTCAGTGCTATCCCTGGGCAAAACAAAGCCCCTAGAAATTCTAACAGTCTATAAATTTGCACACCTGAATCTATTCTCAATATTTTTAAAAATTATCTTCGTGCTCATTGTAAATATTTCTGCCACGGTCTCTAAACATAAACCCCCAGACCCTCCCATCTCCTCATATATACTGAAGTTATCAGATTGCAATTACTATGTGTGTTAAACTCAGTTTAGCATAAGCACCCATAACCAAAAGTAATAGGGAACAAGATAAAAAGTCTAGTGTATCTTTAGATTATGGTCTTAAAAGACTCCTGTGAACACTATATGCTAATCTGAACCTTAACTCTAACTTCTGTTATCAAGTATTGTTAGTCATTACCTGCTTAAGCCCTCTTTTAAAATAAATGCACTCCACACATTTTTTTATGAAAAGACAGTCCCAACAATGACTCAAGTTTTTCCTTTTCTTATTGAGAACCAATGAATTCAAGTTAGCAAAACAGTAAACCAGATACCACCACAGTGCACATTTATTAGACAACCAAAATTTAGCTTTACATTTATAATACATTAATAAACACAAAATATACATTTTATAACACCTTGCAAAAGAAATCAAATCCGAGCAACGCGCAAATCTAAAAAGGGTGGGAGATCAAAATAGGGAAAATTCTGTACAAATGTAATATAAAAATATGTTTCCATATGAAAGAACCTTCTGTTTGAGACTCAGCCAAGAACTGCATCTCCTATGTATTTGTTGCTGCTCAAAAAATCCTGAGCAGCAGGAAAACCCCCAAGCACTTCCCCCCTCCCAGCCCCTACAAACATCCCACCCTAGCAAGCCCTGCTTGGACCACAATCTGCTTTTCAGAATCCACTAGGAGACAGCAAGAGTTATTATATTTGTTTCTAATTCATGCTGCAAATGCTGGGAAAGGTCATGAGCAACAGAGCAGGCCAGCACAGCAGAACTACTCCAAAGGTTTCTAGATAATAGAAGAGCAGTGCCCAGTTAGTGGTACCCCAGGGATGGTTAACCAGTGACATACCAAAAAACTCTTTCAAGAAGAATGACAGTAGCAGTTAGGAAGAGAATTTTCAACATATATTTAGATGGCTAACATTAGGCTGTCTGGAAGTAGGAGACTCATCAAGGAGACTCATTATCTTCAGAGGCAGAAGCCCTTGACCTCCCTGCCCCCAGCTGATGTCTCTGCAAACCTCTAATTTGCACTAAACCCCTCACTTTGTGCTTTTAAAAGCAACTCCCCGTTCAACTGTAGCTGGGTAGCAGAGACACGGTCAGAATTTTCAGGCTGGTGGGGCTTTTTGACCACTACAACCTTGCCCATTCCTGAGGCTGTTCTGGAGTTCCCTGGAATGTGCAGTGGAGAGTGACCGGTCACACCAGGGCACTGACAGCACCACGTGAATAAAGTGTTTACTTTTATGAAGTGGCTTCCTACTCACACACACACAGTTTGAGCTGCTAGTCTGATACATTACCTATGTCTTCAACCATATTTAAGATCATTTTACTACTACTGAAGTGACACTCAATTACAGGGCAATTATTGAATTCCTGGATTGCTTAATCACCCCAAGCCACTTTCAGTAAGTGGAAATTACAGTCACTCACACCTTACTGCTTAATTAGAAAAGAAAATCACAGTAATTTTGATCCTGAAGATCATAAATTTTACCATGAACAAACTATTTCAACTATCGTTTCTCAAATTCTACAAACCAAAATACTTCAAATCCAGAAAGGAACATTATTTCCCCCTGTATTCTGTCTCTATTGGGTAAAGCTCTTATATGAATCACTTGACATTGACTTAAACTCTGAATACTCAGATCTGTATCTGAGCCTTAAATTCTGGATCTGAAAGAAGATTTTTTTTTTAAATGTCACATACCAGTCTGTCCTTTAGCAACAGTATCTGGAAGATATTCCCAATTTTTCCTCACCAAGTAACTGCAAGTAAAATTCCAACTGTGTTGTAAGGAGAAGAACATTGAGGAGCTTCTTCAACAGCTCAGCTTGATTTAAGGAAGTGTAGTCAGAATTTAGTTTATCATGATTAGCAGTGGAGAATACAAATGAGCTCAGCTCTTACAGTGCACATAATTTATGACTTCACAGACAAAATAATATATGTGACCACATTTCTAATGAATTTGGTTTAATACACACAGCTTGTGAAATGAAGTGCAGGAAGCTTAACCTTTGGTTTTGTTCTATATCAAAGAATTTCAGTGAAACAATTATTTTCCACATCCAAGCTTCACACTGCAAGCATTACTTCCATGGTGAAGCAGATACCAGAACTGGTGCTTCCTCCCTCCCTTTCCTCACCAAATTACCAAGTGTCTGCTGCCACTACTCCCTTCACAAATGCAAAGCTCAAGTCTGGGTCACTGCTGTACACTGGGTGACAAAAAAGCAAAGGGCACCAGCGAGAAGTAGTGGAGGCAACACATGGTTCTGTTAAAAAAGTAATAGCTTGGTAAAATTTAATAAAATAAGACACACAGACCATAAAATAGCAAAGTAACAGTCATTATGTCCTGGCTTTTTTGGCTTCTCAAAAGGAAGGAATTTTCAACAGAATTGTGTTATGTTGACAGAATATGGCTGTAGAGGCATAGCCCCTACAAACATACATTGAGAATTTAGCATACCTCCAGAATTTTGGTATTTTGCTCTGGAATATTGTTATATTTAGAGTGATTCTATCTCCCTCTGCAGTATTGCACTGAAAGAATGGAGCTGTTGAATGACTACTTGTTTAGCTGCTGCTCTCACCTGGAGTTTGGTATTTGGGTTTGGTCAGAAAGTGAACTCAAATGAACTTTTTTTTTTTTAAGAAAAAAAATTACAATTGTGGCTGATGTGCTAATGCCTTCCTGGTTGAGTTTCCTTTTTACAGTGAAAGGAGGGCAAGGAAACAGCCTAAGGAAACAGATTCTGATGAGTGATAGATATGATACTCTTCAAGGAACTGTAGATAAGTATTATACTTGCAGAGCTTAAAAATGGCTGGTGGTAGATTATTTTGGCATCTCCAGAGTTTCTACTTCTGAAGTCTCCTAATGCAGCACAGAGCACAGAAAATTGTATACACACATGCCTTAATATCAGAAGCAAAGTCAAAAATCAATTGCTTCTGTGGCAGAACCATCCAGACCCAGCTGAAGTGTAACACCCCAACAGCAGTAAAGCTGGTGCAGCCAGAGCTTTCCTGGTGTAATTCCATCTCTGCAGAGAGCTTTTGATAGAACTGCTAGAAGATATCCCACCTATCCCTCAACCAGCAAGGCTCTGCCAGCAGCAGACTAAGACAGTAGACCTAGGCTTCTATTTTCCTAATAACAGTATCCACCTCAATCATTTCCTCTGAAGTTCTCAGTAGACAACTGGTCATGAGATTTAAGAGTCACTCAAAGGCAATGAAAGCACAAAGTCAGCTTTCTATCCCTTTGTCCCATTTCTTGTGCTGTGTGGCTCAAGGGTGAGACTATGAACACCCATCAAAGAGACTCCTAGTGCATGGCTCTGATCTTCCTAGAACTGAATTTGAAAGGAGATAAATAAAGATCAAGGTTTTCCTGTCTAAAAGCAATTCTATTTAAGGGAACTCATTCTGCACAGTGGCATTTTATGTAATCTAGGTCAAGAGTCTAAATAAAATGCTTTCAAATTAAGGTATTTTTTTATAATGATCTTCAGAATATTACTGGAGCTACAGTGCAATGCTGCAAAATCCTAGAGGAAGTCTAGATTGCAATCAGTTCAGCTAATAATTTATGTGGTCCTTGTGCCCAAATTGCTGATGTCTAGACTTGTTCAAGTACATGCTCACTACCCACAACAGTGACTGCATGAGTGCAAACTCACCCTAAGCATGTGACAAACAACCCCAAAAAGTAAGCCCTTACTCCAGCCATGCCAAATTCTCATCCAATATGCACAGCTGTGCTGAGGACACCCAACTCTCAGAATTCATTTAGAGTTGGAGCCACTCTGGAATGGTCAGAATTATCAGTTAATTCAACTTGAGATGAAGCAGAAGTCAGAGGAAAATAGAAATCAACAAAACTGCATGCAAAAGTTAAGGGGAGAAGAAAAATTACTGGCATTCAGTAGCAGACACCTTGTATACATGGTTGGGAAAGGTTAAGTTATTATGTGAAGGAAAAGTTATACTTGTGGATTAGTCAATCTCATATATAAATATAACATTGAAAATCACTCCAAGTATTCCATATGACAGCCAGGAAGAGGTACAGTAAATGACTGGGAAGTAGGTAAAAATTTTTCAGATTTACCCCTTTGATAAGAAATCAATAGTAGTGGAGACAGAATGAGGAAAAAGATTGCACTGATGACTGAAATCAATAGCAGTAAACAGCAGACTTCCTTCTTTGAGAGCCAGAAAGCACTTGAGTATGAACAGACCCACAATGACAATCTGCTCATTTTACATTAATTTAAATTAACATACTTGGAAATTGATGAAAAATCTTAAATTCCATTCATGTTAAATTACGTATCAAATCAGCAGAGAACATTCCAGACTTTAATCAATACTTTTCCACTGCTTTCTGTCAACTTGGTGTCAGGATCTAGGAAGCAAAGCATGCCAAGGACAAACTCAGAATCACTGTTATGTAGCAATGTTGTTTAACTGGGATACCATCCCAGATAGAAAAAAAATTACACAAACCCTTTCTTTTTTTGTTTCAGACTTGCAAAGGAATTCACAGTTAGATATGGTGACCTTCTTCCTATATGACTATGAAAAATTTGAAAACCCTCTTTGGAGTAAAACTGCTTCTGCCTGCTTCTTGAAATTGTCTTTCAGTAGCAAGGATACCACCATTCCTCAGAGGTGTAGCAATCTGACTGTCAAAAGCAAACAAGCTATAGCAGTATCTTAAAATGTTTCACATTCCTCTGTAGATGGTTAAGCAAAGACTAAAGTAGTCTCAAAAATCCCTTAGGTTAATTTGAATAAGCATTTGTCATTAACTTCAGACTTTTAACTTCTAGAAAATTGTATCTTGCTTTGAATCAAACCTTGAAATAAATATTTCAGATGGAAAAAACAGTACTGAAGTCTGGAGTCCTATGAAGACAACATTGAAAGTGGTTAAGCCTGCTGGTATCATGCAGACCTCCAAAAGATGAACAAGATCAGGATTAAAAAACAAAACCAACCAACCAAAAACCAACCAAAAAAATCCCCAATCCCCTCCTCCCCCCAAAAACCCCAAACCAAACACCAAACTGAAAAACACACCCTAACTCAAATGGAAATTTTGCCTCTGTACTACAATATATCATTTTTTCTGGTCAATGGTATGTCTCCAGTTTGAGAGACGTAATAATATAGCATCATGAAGCTGGGTATCCAAAAATTTCTTCTCTTCCCCATAATACTGTAGACCTTTTACAATTAATTAGTTCCTGTTAGAAAGACAGTAGGTCCTCTGAAACGCTTTCATGTTCTTGTATAACAGAAACTGGTAGGAAAGAACCAGTCCAGATTCAGAAGTTTGGTTTTTTTCCTCTTCTCCAGTTTAGATATGCTGAGTATCCAATGTTTCCTCTAAAAGCTGCTGACATTGTCACTCACCAGTGGGCCCCTTGTGGACCCCACGGCCTCTCAGGCCTCAAGAAGTATCTGCACTCCCAGAGAAAAAACAGTTCAGAATTTGGTTGCGTTTTCTTCACTGTTTATTACAGTTTGACGTTGGCTTTAGTCAGAACATTCTTCCTCAACCTCCTTTACCTTGCAAACTTCATCTTCAGACTGCAAAGAAGGCTGAGGAATGCAGGGGAATGTCCGGATGCTGCGGGGATCCACCGGAGGCACCAGGGTCAGCGACTCCACGCTCAGTGTATCCGTGTTGTCATCTGTAATTAGGGATATTGTGGGCTGCTGGGCAGGAATCAGGCTGGGAGACAGGTTTGCTGTTTCTATGTCACTGGTTTTCCCAGTGTTTTTGCTGGACTTTGAGACAGCTGAAGGAGTTTCATCAGTCAACATTGTCTGACCGGAAATGGCCGCCTGAGGATGCTCTGGAGCTGAAGGGTCATCTAATAAAAGAAAACACCAAGAACAATCAATATTCAATTTAGTATGTACATTAAGCCAAACAATATACTATTATTCATGAGTGTTCAAGAATAATTGGGTGGGAAATGCAGTTCTGTGAAGCACTATGCTTACACATTCACTTTCTAGTAATTAGATATAAAACAAGATATTATGGAGGCATAACCTAAAATGCCAGTAAGATTCTGTTCAAAACCAGACAATTTTAGACATTTAGTATTAGAATATGCAGCAATATTAGAAATATTCCTAGAGAAAGGAAATTGAGGGGATGAATAAGAAAACCTCTCCAGTATTTAGTATCCACTAAAATGAACAGCTACCCCATGCCAGGAAGATCTTTAGAAGTAAAAGAGAAACCAAAAAAGAACCACTGTAGAGCTAGCTTTCCCAAAAATTGGCTTGTTTCTTACAAAAATTTGGAAGTCATTCTCTCAATTCATTCTTCAGATTCACATTGAAGTGACACCTCAACCACAGAAAGCAGAACTATGGAAGCACAGGAAGGAGGATAATGTGCTTTCTGCAACTGAAAGGTGCTGCAAAATAGGTCTGGTTTATACAGGCTCGTGTTATAGGATTTTTTAGTCCTCCTAAGCACGGAGCATACAACACAAAATTGAGAATAAGCATAACATACCACAGAAAACTGATATGCTACTACACCTTTCCACACTATGAAAATAACTCCAGCATTAACAATTACTTGTACTGTTCTTTTCCCCCTAAAAATCCAAGTGAACTATTCAGTAAACTGTTCATTTGGCTCAGGATGGAAAAGGATGGAGGGGATGAGGTGATGCAGCCTTACATGAGCAAGTATGCCCAGAAAAGTAATTTTTTTCTTTTTCTTTTCAGACCACAACAATAGATGCCATTAAAGTAACAGGTATCCAGCTTCAAGACAGACCAGTTTTAGAGCTTTTGTAAGAAACAGCATGTGTTCAAGTGTACAGGCATCTGCACAAAGTTTACAAGGCAATGTAGCGAATACAGAAGCTAAGAATTAGGTTCTGTTTTTAATACACAGTGACCTTAAAAATATTTCCGTTTCAATATGATTCCAGTTAATCCTGGAAAAGAACAGAAAGCACGAACATAAGACAAAAAAAAAAAAAAAAGACAAACAAAGCTGAGAAAGGAATGGATATCAGTAAGGGATCAGTGGGATAACAGTAAGGTTATTGATTTTTTTACCTTCCTGGAAAGATAAACCCAAACAATGGTGTATTCTCACTTCAGAAACCACTCAAATTTACTTTTTGTTGAATCGGTGGCTAAAGCTTCTTGCTTTAATAAAAACAAAATTTACAGACTGTAAAAAAGTCTCCTTTTAAATCAAAGGGACATGACTGGTTATTTTGGAAATATAAGGACAGATTCAAAGTAACTCTGCAGATTCTTTTCAGCTGTCAAGAAGCTTTAGGGAGAATGTAGCAACTGATAACAGAGGAAGTGATGCAAAACTTGCATGGAAAACGAGCTGCTAAAACAATAAAATACAGCCTCAGTTCCCTGAATTCCAAGCTAAATGCTACCATTTCAGGATACACAAAACAGTGAATCTCTTTGTGGTGATTTTACTTTCTGAATTTACTTTTCTGAAATCTTAAAAGGATCCCAAATGTTCTTTGCCAAGACTATTTTTTATTTTACTTCTATTAGAATGTGAATATTCACCAAAATTCAGGATTCAGAAATTGAGGCATTCTGGTAAATAAAGGATTCTCAATCAGTGGCATTCTGCTCAGGAATGTTATATACAGCACATCTCTACTGTGGTTCTGCTATTTCACTTCTGATTCTGCACTTCATTTCTTATATATATTTCTCAATACTTTCATTTACTGAAATAATGAAAGACATACATGTTCTTTTGTTATGCTGTATTGTCCCCAAATCCTTCCAAGTAGGTTCTAAATTAATGCTGAAGTGACTCCGTTCTTAATGTCACAAAGAGTATTTGAAAAAAGTGCCCATAAAAAAAAAAAAAAAAGTATCTGGAGTTAAAAAGCCCAAACTTTCCATACAGAAGTCTCAAAAAACATTCAGGAAAAAAAGATAAAAATATCAAAAAAAGTTCTCAAGCCCACAGGTTACTTGAGGTGTACACTTGGCTTGAAAATGCAGCTATAAGCTTGTGTTAGCAGGTTTTTACTGTGATTATCTCTCATATATTTTGGATATAAGCCTAGAGGAGAATAATCCCAGACTACAGATGAAGGAATACAGAGATCCAGCATCCTGGAATGAAAATTTGGTATATGAGACATTACAATGAAAAAAACATCAGACAATTCTCATGATGAAAAAACTGCTTTAATTGAATACCTGGCTTCAGGACAATAATTACTAATGAGAAAATCTTTGAGGCTCAAAATTTCAAAGCCTTTTGAAGTCATGCTCAACTCAGAGAAGGATGGAAGTAGATAAATATACATTTATGTCTGATCTGAATTATGAAAGTCTCTGAAACTGGAATAAACAATTGGCAAAAAGATATGCCCTGGGTGAAAAAAACCCCTAAAGAATGTGCTTACAGGAACATCTGTCTCTAGGTAGGTACCAAGACAGGTACACCAAGCTCTGGCTTCTAGAGACTTTTGTGTACCCAGTATGTTTACAGACTCATTTCTCTACCCATTATCTGGAACTTCTGTTGATACAGCATGTAACTGGCTTTCAAAAAAACCTCAAACTCCTAACATTTGATTCCAGTCTGACTTTTGGATAGAAAGAAAAAAAGTAATTGTAACTTTTACTTGGATAAACCCACTGATCATTAAGATATGCCCTACTCTTAAATATCAAAAAGTTATCATCTAATACTGGAGAACAACATTTCTATTTATCTCTTTCCAAGCAAGAGTGTTCTGGCAAAAAATGTAAACCAGTTCTGAAACAATACCAAGGAGAGTTCAGCCAGTTTCTTCACAGGGTTGTGATGTTGACATTTGGTTCTAACAAACCCCTCCCACATACCTCCAAACTTAAGCACCAAACAAGATTTGAAAACAGGGTGTCATTTTGCAAGTTTTGGGGTATTATTAGCTCTCTGTGGATCCAGTGGCTTCAACAGCCTTAGATGTTTTTCAGCACTTCTGTAATGCTACAAAGATTACCATTACAGCAAAAAAATCCACACCAATCACTCAATTTGTTATATTAACTTATGCTTAGAAGAATTATCAGTGAAAAAAGACAGACTAGAACAGAAAAAGGAAAGAATGAATATCATCTACAGAGAAGTGTTCTAATCTGTACAGCAACATAACATGAAACAATAATGAAAACATAAATTACCAGACATTAAGCGAAAAGATGCAAATTAAATCTATAAAGATGAAAAAGGGTGTTTACATAATATAAACAGAGTAAAGTATCTCGGTGCCATGACAGTAAAAAAAAAGAAATTAATTAGATACAAGTTAAAGCAGGTTACATAAAAAAGCAGGTCATCTGAAGTGTATTTCCATCTTTTTTGCATGTGCTTCCCCTCCTCAGGCAATTGAACAGTCCATAAAGTCATCTGCCTGAGCTTGATGATCACAAAAGCATTAAGCTTGTGCCATCAGAGTCCCAGGGCAGTTGGCCACTCAGTTCTGCTGAATGCCTGTCCATTTTATCTGAGCTGTAAATAGACTCCCTGCTGCTGGCCAAGTACCTGCATCACTGTCCAGTCAGAGCCTGTGCTCACTCAGTGTCACTACAGCCAGGGCTGCCCTGTGCAAATGAAGACATGGTTGCTTTGAAGCTGGAGGCTTGATGGCACAATTTCCACCTCTGGCAACAGAGCCAAGAGACATGGGAGAAACTGCAGATAAGGCTTTCAGAAATGGCTCAACATCGCTTTACAATTCTCCCAAACCGAAATGCAGAGACAAAAATCACCATGCTTGCTTTCTTCAGTTTCCTACCTCACTGGCACTGGTGTCAGCATGGAAACCAAGTATGTTCTATTAAGAAGTGTTATGGGCTCGTGAAAGCTTATGGAGGAACCTGCCTGAGTGGGTATTGCGGGAGTTTCTGCTGCAGCTGCTGCTCGAAGACCTAAACCCAGTGTCCGCCGTGACTGTCAGCCTCCGACAGACTAAACACCCGCCGGCGTCCTTTCCTGCCAGACCTTACTAGAGGAAAACACAGTGATATATCATACACAGGCTTTAACAGGGACACAGGGAAGGGAAACTGGAATGAAGACAAAGGATAAATGTTAGAGCAGCAACAAGAATAAGTGACAAGGACGCATCCGGAACTGCTGGTATCTTGGATACAATCTGATGCCGCACCAAAAGCTTTCTAAGTTTGGGAAATACTTCTGGAGCTGGAAGTATTCATTTTTTAGGAATAAATGAGTTTAACTGAATTTAATTTTTGCTCCCCTATCTGAAAAGGTTCATAATGCAGTTTTGGTTGTGTCTGGCAATATCAGCAGCACTTACACCAAGGAGGGACTGGTAAGCATTTATTTGCATTCCAATCTCCTCACATGCTTTAGAAATCTCAAGAGAAGTTATTTATCACAAGTTCTGGTGACATAGAATTATTCTCCTTTTCCCTAGCCATAAATTATATGAGGTGCAGTGCTGTGCAGGTGACAACACTGCAGATCATTCAGCCCTACAATTCTATCATCTACATTATAATGAATTATAATGATTATAATAAAGCTAAACACAGTGTTTTAAAAGATAGCAGCAGTTCAGATGATGATGCTTGGTGCATAGAAAGTTCCTAGAAAAGAAACTTTCTAAGAACAAAAGTACTTCCTCAGCTAGTTGAAAAATTACTAGCATCATAGAACAGGAGATCAAACCACATTTACATCACTGATTATAGAGGGAAGAGACAGGGATGGTTTCAATAAGATGGGAGGCACTTCTCTTACAGGCTCTCCATGCTTCATTAATCATCCTCTCCTTGGAATAAAAATTTAATTTTACAGACTGGAATCCAATATGTTCTCTGCAACAAGGGACAGTTCTTAGTACTTATTTTAGGTCTTTTATCATCAATATCTGCCAGAAGTGTGAAATACTGTGTAAGTGGCACAGAAGACCAGTGCCTTGTGAAGTCCTCAATATCCATTGCTCCAATGTAAACATTTTCTTAAGTACTGAAGCCAATTGCTTTTTAAAGTTAAGACAACTTAAACAGCAATAAAATACAGTGTAGATGACATTAACACATCTGTAATTCTGGAAGGCTGCTAACTTACAGTAAGAGAGCTTCTATATCTAATCTTTGACATATATAAAAATAAGCACTTTAAAGGAGTGCTCGGTTCCAGCAAGGTTAGCCAAGACATGACTGTATTCTAACCTCTGAAACTTGATGACTAAAATCTGCCTAGAAAGAAAACATTTCTACTTTATGCACAGCAACACTTCAAAAGGACACTTTCATTAAAAAAAATAAATCATGTAAATACAAAGAAAAAACCCAAACCAACAGCAGCATTTGCAGAACCTGATACTGCCTTTTCTGTCATTAGGGATTCTGCTTTCTTTAAGGGATGACTTCTGCCTTTCCAGTTTTAAAGAACTGTGATCCTATAAGGGGTTAAGCTTAATTCCCAAATACTACAAAGGTGGGAGTTGCTAGGTTTTAAAATATCTGTGCCATAAAGCAGTGTTGACAATTATTAGGTACGATAGCTGATAAAAATCATAAGAGTTTATTTTACTCATGACAAGGCAGTTAATGCAACACTGTGGGATTGCTTGATGCAGGTAGGGTGATACAAGTAAACTATTTTTACAAAACACCAAATTAACACTTTTTCCCTGTCATGCATTTTTGAAAGCTCTTTTGCTGTTTAATCTTTAACATATACTTTATGTTGTAACATTGTTTTCGCTTAACTGACACACAATTTGTCTTTATTTTGTTCTCATCTGTCACTGTTTTATGTTAAAGTTGGTATGTTCCAAATCTTATTTCCTGAAACAACTCTGCGAAGACTTACAAGTACCATCTCAAATATATCAAACCCTGAACAGTTTAAATCAACAGCAACTGTCAACAGACAGTAGTTCAGGACACTATGATCACAAGTTTACAGTATAAAAAGCTCTTGTGGTTTAAAATGTTGTTCTTAAGGAAGGTAGCTGAAGTAGTTTTCTTGAAGTTCACATGCTCATCTCCCCTTTATCTTGTCTGGCCTTCTTGACTGAAGTTCCTGAGCAGCTCAGCATGTTCTTCATGCTCATCAACCCCAGCAGTTGCCAGAACAAACAGGGGAGCAGGGAAGGAGGGAGGGACAGAGAGCTCATACATGTGCTTGTGTGAGTGTGTTTAAAATGGAATGGGAAATGAGACGGGAGATTCGAATGTGACAGACGGTGGCAGCATTTAAGTGCTACCTTGGGACATAAAACAGCTCTTGGGAACTGCTTGTTGCTCATCACCTGCTTGTTATTCGCTCCTCTAAGGGGCCACTTCACATCATGCAAGCCTCTTCTGCTTACAGCCAAGTAAGGCAGGCTAGTTCCAACTGTCCTCAAATGGTTAAGGGACAATCACTGAGTTTTGCATTGAAGTGGGTGAATACCAACAATTGTTTCCATATCCCAGCTGAGTGGTCAGTAGGACCTGATACAACACACAGTGATGACACTGTCACTTATTTCAGCAAAGTACTTCTGTTCATGCAGAAGCCTATCTGGACATGCCAAAGGGATCATCTCTGTCATGACCGTGTTCCTGGCAAGTTTCCAGTACAGATCTCAATTACACATAAATGGTATAAAAGGGAGAACATTAATTACAAATTTGCAGTAAACCAGTCAAATCAGTGAATGCAGAAACATTGTTCCCAAGAATAGACGACAGTATTGATCTGACACTGAAGATTAACAAAAAGCGTCAAAAGAGCTCCCTGGGTTGGGGAAAACCTTCCCCATATCCCAACCCCCAAAAGACCTACCTCCACAGATTTCAGAATTCTCTCTAGTCTGTACTGAGGACCTTGAGACACCATCACCCCCTCAGTTACAGCTATTTAAAACATTATTCATTATTGGCTGCAACTACACCAGCAGTTTGGTACAGACTTTTGAAGAATCATGCACACTTACTGCTTTGTTTGATTTTAGGAACAGTTTCTGTGCATTAATGACATTCCTTCACAAGGAAACCAAACTATAACATATGCTACATCTATGCACCAAATACACTTCAAATATTAACAGCTATGTATGCCTGAACTAATAACTGGTCCTTCAGACAATCTCATACATGGCAGGGATTCTTGGTCCTAAAGGTCAGGGTAAATATGGCCCACAGCAAAATCCCTGAGCCATCTCAGTACCACCTGTGCATTGTCCTACTGCAAGAAACTACCTGCTCAGGCACCTACAGTCACTGTCTTCCTCTTTGTTACTGTCCCCTGAGCAGAACAAAACCAGGAGTTGAGCTCCAAAGTCATCCCTGCAGCAGGTTAGTGAAGCTGCTGACCCTGGACTGAAGGAGCAGATGGCACATTCTCGTATTCATTCCTCTGACTTTACTGAAGGTCACTGTGCTCATGGTGGTGGGGCACAGAACTATATCCTCACAGCTACATTTGTTAAATCACCTGCATCAGTGTGCCCAGATCCTGGGCAAAAAAATCAAACCCCACCCAAAAACTGTTTTCTTGCATGGCACGTGGCATTTTGCACACATTTTATGATTAATTCACAGGGAAGGTCAAGGAGGGCAGTTCATGCAATGTAACCAGTATGTGCACACTGAAAACAGGTTTTTGAGAAAACCTTCCCTCTGTTTCTTGTTTTGTTCTGTTTTCTTGTTTGTTTGTTTTTGGGGTTTTGTTTGTTTGGTTTTGGGGAGGGTAGGGAAGAGTTTGTTTTGAGTTTTTTGTTTGGTTTTTTTTTTGAAAGCAAAAAACAGCCTTCTGTCATCAGGCTTTTTAAACTGCAGGAAAAATCGAATTTTATGTTATACAAATGCCAACATAGCGTGTAAGTAAACTGTAATTTTGGTAACTACAGTCTGTGATTATTCTTCAATAAGGCACTATCTTTTTATGTTTGATGAGTAATTATGTGTTCTGGATCTAGGCATTTTTTCATAGAAGCCAGATTATATGCACTTGAGAGACCTCAGTTTGAAATGTAGTACAGTCTTGCTTGATATTTCTGTGAACTGGCATGTTGCTCACAACAACAAAAACAATTTAGATTCTTTATTTTCATTTCCTTTACCACAGTTTTCTCTTAGCCGCTATTGGCAAGAACTAGTGGTTACATTTCTCTGATCACAGATGATTTAAATACAGCAAGGATATTGCACATGAGCCTTTTTACACTGCTAAGGAGAAACAGGTCATCAAACAAATGTTTTCTTGTAGTGCCAATCCATATTGAGAGTTCTGACAAATAAATGATAGCACCTCTAGAGTCTAGGTGCTGAATGTTTTACATATTTATTGTTCATAAATGTCATAAGCACCCTCTCCAGCAGTATTTCTTGCAGGGATAGTCACTTTAAACATATAATGCACATTGATCTGCTGACACTGTTCCAGTGAAGGCTACAGAACACTAAATGCCTAAGAAAGGTTGCATCATTTCCTGTAGGACTGCAACAGAGTTTAGATCTAGCTGGGGCTTCCAAAATGGTATGTCTTAGAAGGGGTAACCAGAACATCCCTCTCAAGGAGTCATCAACATTGGAAGTGACCAATAAAATGAGGGAGTTACTTTGAAAGGTCCTGAGAATCAGGTTCCCTCTTTTGTTTTACAACCAAATGAGGCAGACGAGATCAGTTCTAGCACAAGAGCAGCTCAGCATGCACCCTTCAGCATTTACTTCTTGTTTGGTCTCCAGCCTGAGGCTTTACCTCACATAATTTGCACTCAGAACAGACACCATTACAAGATTCTCTACAATTACTATCCAAAAAGGAGGAATGGAGTTCTAATTAGAAGGTGTTCTAATGCAACAAGAAGTCCCAGTTTAAACATACCCACTAAATATATTGACCAGTGCAAACAAATGGGGGCCACATTTGTGAAAGTTACACTGTCACTATTTATGTTGCAGCCTCTTCTGGACCAAGGGAACAGCTCCTGCCTGGTGGTGTTCAGCCACAAGAGTGTTATTGCAAAAGCTTTACAATATTAACATCCTAAATAACTATTTTCAAATATTTCATATTTGGCCCATTGTTACAAATTAACGTGAGCATCAGAAAAACACACAAAAGCAAATGTCACCCAGTTCAAAAAAGATGGATATCGACTTATCCACTAAGGTGAAAGGCTAACAGTTTAGATTACAAATTCATGCAAAGCAATACTTCAGTTAACACAAGCAAAACAAACTATCAACAAAAAACCCCCCACAACATTCTAACTGTGTGTGCTAGGAGAAAAGACAGACAAGCAGGACATTGTTTCACCAGTACTTAAAATCACTACTGAAAGATGCCAAGTATTTATTAGAGTTCCAGAAAGCTGAAGAGATCATTAAAATTTGCACCACAATTTACTTTTAACTGGCTTAGTTGAATAATCAAGTGATCTAAAACCATAAAGCCCCATTGTTTTTAATCCAATAACACAGTAACTTAATTTTACAATAAACTACCCTATATCCCTTAGTGCCTGGGCTGAAAATGGTGATTGAATACCTGAGGGGCTCTGTGCAGCAGAAGGAGTGGATGTCGAGCTCGCAGTCACCGAATCACAGCGCCCTGTGCTCCCACTGCCACTGGAAGGTGATGGGGATGAGAGTGGGGAGGGATGGTGCTGATTTATACACTGGGCTACAGCAAAGCCTGCAAAACAGCACAGTGTTAAGTTAATTATTACCTTGAAAGAGTTAATCTCTTGAAGAAACTGGTGAAAGGTAGGAGCAAATACTGTATCGAAGTGGTGCCGATTTCATGTAGTGACCCCGAGGACCCACTGAAAGCTTTAAAACACAGAAATGACAAGTCAGGAAAATGCTGTGAGCAGCAACACACACTGACAGGTTGTGCTACAAAAAAAAACACAATGAAGAAAGTAAAGAAAAAAGCCAACAAATATAGTCCTGTTAATAATCTGACTTGATCTGCACTCCCACCTCTTACCCCCCATGCTTACAGTCTAGAACTAGACTCAAAGCCACTTGCACAAACACAATGCTATCTGGATTTCTGTCATACTTGCATCATAGTTCTAGATGGGTGAATGCCACTTTTACTGAGCTTTTCTCTTATTTAAGTTAAGACTCGTTATGTCCAAGATGAATATCACTTGAAAGAATTAAACAACCACCACGGCAGGAGCCATCTATTTTGGTGAAAAACAAAACAGTTTGGTGAGGAGCTAACTATCCCATAAATGTAAATAAATTCATGTATTTTATTTCAGAAACCAACCTGATTGATCTTCTACAATCACTTAGATAAGTTAAACTGAGGTCACACACAGTGACACCTGACAGTCTGCAAAAAGTTAACCACAAACTGACCTACCTCAAACGTGAAAGACTTTTATATCATTGGTCCTGAGTGCTGTAGTTTTTAATCACAGAAAATGTACATTGGGTTTCTCATACACACTTCATATTTTGAAATACCAGTTAGAACCGGGAAACAAGGAATAATCAGTGGACTCCTGACCACAGAAGTGAGACAAAGTCAACTGTTAATGTGAACTAAATTTGTTTTAAGAACAGCTACTAAAGCCACTGGTATAGAAGTGATATCAAGATATTTTTCTTCCCTTACAGTGCTGGAAAAAGCTGTACCTACCCAAGGCATTCTATATCCACAAAAGGTTTGCACTTCAAGGGAGAAAAAATCTTCCATCCTCACTGAAACAGCAGAAAACAGTAAACAAGGTCTGCCCTGACTATCACAGGGAAAGTTGACCTGATTCAGCAGGATTTGCCTGCCCAAACTTCTGCAGAACAGCACTCAGGGATTTGTGTCCTTACAATACAACTGCAGAGGAAGGATTTGGAGTTAACAGGAAGTTAATTCAGATAGGAGGGAAAAGTAAGCCTAAATCATTCAGAATATTGTAACTGGGAAACTACTGACCAAGAACAAATTTGCTAATCAGGAAACTCCTTCAGGAAATACTTGCAAAGAGAAAAGGAGCAGAAATAATCATAGCTACAGGAAGTAAAATTAACTTAGAAGGTTCTAGAAGTGTCTTTTTCATTACTTTATGACTCTCAAGTTGTGATTGTGGTTGCTAATGAACAAAAGTATTTCCTTTCCAGTAGTCATGATTCTGCTTCAACATACTTTTCTATTAAAGACTCAGCAAAGTATTACTGTAAAGATGTGCTTCCCAGTTCCTTGCAAATCTTATTTTCATAATCACAATGTTTCATAGGGCTGTGTTTTCTTTCCTAAAAGATGTATCAACAGCTATCCTCCTACTGCATTTTACACAACAGCAGCAAAATTTCATGCCAAAACCTGAAATAGCCTCTTAGCTTTTCTTTAAAGGAACTTTTTCTTAAGCAATTAATGCAACTCTTCCTCCTAAATTGGGAAAAGTTTACCTACTGTCTTATAAAAGTTTTCATGTGAAAGACAGCCTTAACCATAAATTCTCCTAAGAATAAAAATGGAGGTGAGGAAAAGGGGAAAGGGCACCGGTGGCAGAAAATAGGAAGAGCAAAAAAACAAACAAACAAAAAGCCTGAGAAGTAGAAATAAAATCTTGGCCAAGAAAGTAGTAAATGTTTTCTCATTGCAAACCATATCCTCATTGCCCCATTGTCTTCTGGGGCAATTTCTTTCTATTCTGTTCTTCTATACATTGTTATCTTACTGCAAATTCTCATATCATACTTAAGTAAACTATTCCAATCTGATGTTCCTACAGTAGCTGTGGACCAAACTTTATATAGAATTCTTGCCTGTATTTTCTTTTTCATTCAAAGGGTTACAAAGCTATAAAAGATGATTTTTTCCTTCAGATTTTAAAATGAAGATGGTTATAGTTTGCTTGCCATGGCTAATGTTAGTGAGAGTTTTTTTCAGCTTTTCCCCTCCAAATTATATCATTATATACTAAGGTATTAACAATGGATAAAATAGTAAGAGATATTTATTGATTCCCTTTGCTTTTCAAAATAAATTTACTCAGTAGGTAAGCTACCACACTTGTTAAAATATTTAGATGTACCTTTTGCTGGAAATCATTAAGATTTCCCTTAAGACACACTGGGAACATAAATCTCAGAATAGAGCTGATACTTGAAACTAATACTTGAGTTTGCTTGGACAGGAAGTCATTATTTATTTACTTTCAGTAGAAGGCCTGTGTTCACAGGGCCCCTACCAAATCTGCTGGTTTCTTTGAAAACAATATAATTATTTACATAGAGTGCTTCAAAAGTATCATATTCATACACAGATGGTGAACAGTCCAGCCAGCTAAACTACCCCTAGAATGCTCTAACATTCTAGCAAAGGCCATTAACTTAAAATAGACCCTGAAGTATATTAATAGCCATGACCTCATGATGATAAAATTGATCAAGTGAAGGCTTTTGCTTATGCTGTTCTCTGATAAGAACTGCCCAGTTTATCAGCCAGTTGGCTGGGATGATTCCAGCATCTCACTGCCTTTGGATAACACTCTATAAAACATAGAGGTTAACAGGGATGTGCTGGAGCACGGTCTGTTATATTCTCATCACCTTTCACATGTCTTGCACAAAATCTGGTTTTAAGCTACAACAATCCTCACCCTCTTCCCCCCAGGATACCAAGAAGCACTTTAAAAAACATTTTAACTTTGTGCCATGAAACAATAAAGAAAAACAAAGCACAGTTTGCCTACAACAAGGTAACTGCACACTCTTCTCTAGTGAAATATGGAGAGCTCTATTTATGCAGTATGACAGAAATTGAACCAGACCAGACTGAAATAAGTGTTCTTGGAAATTCTGAATTCATTGACAAGATGGATTAGGGAACTGATTAAACAGTTGTATTAAAATTCTCCACAGACCAAAATTTGCAGGAGAGCTGAAAACATTTATATTACTGTTAATGTCTTAAAAACCACACTGGGTGTACAGCACTGACAGCTAACATGGTCCAACTAAAAGTAATAAATAACCTTTTAAAAATATTGCTGAAAAACCTAGTTCTCCTTTAAATCTAGAAAGGACATCATCACCAAAAGAAGGTATAATTTGTTTCTTAAAAGTATAATCAAATTAACTGACTGTACAAGCTTTGCACAACTCTTAAGCACCAGATGAAGCTGTAGCATTAAGAAATGAATACATGAAGCCAGTAATTTAACTGCAACTTCTTCAGTTGTTGTTTCAAAAGGCAAGAAAATCTTCCCCTTGAAGCAAAAATCACAGTGGGCCTGATTAAGGGATAAGGACAAACAGATTCCTGTGAAAATCACTCGGAACTAGGAAACCTCATTCATTCATGAGCAAGAAAGAGTCATTTGATATTTATTTTGTAATTAGATGTAAACCAGGATATGAATCCATTTTTATTATATTACTGGCTGTCATAAAATGCACTTCAAAGATGCTACACTTTAAATACTTCATGTTCTGTGCCTCATTTCTTGTACTTTGTACCAAATAAAAGCTTCAGAATACTTTTTCCTCTGGATTTGCAAGTGCAAGTCTCCATTTCCTGGAATTCAAAGGAAGTATGTGCTTGTTTGAACAAATTACCATATTGCACCACCTCCAATATCCCCTCCCCGAAATTAGTAGATGAAGTCACTTGTTAGGAACACAAGGGCACGTGTCTTAGAGAAAGTTGGAACAGTAACCCTGGGGCACCTTTCCAACCACACCTTTTCCCTGGAAGTCATGTCAAATAAGGAAATACACTCCCATTATACAACATACACTTGTCTTTTGAAAAACCTGACTGGCAATATCTATGGTTTTATAATTTCTGTTCCCCAGTCAGGACTCAGGAAAACTGAGCTCCAATTCAGCCTTAAAGCAGTTAAACATCTGTGGTTTAAGTAGGGTACTTGAATTTTGAACCACTGAATCACATTTAAAGAGAAATGCTGACTTCTGTGAAAGGATTGGCAACAAGTGGGGTAAGGACATTGTATCTTTTTGTATAATACAGCACAAATAAGTACTTTCAAGCAGTATGAAATGCAACTTTAAAATGACTCAAGACCAAATGAGAAAATTTCACCATCTGGAAAAGAAATTCTGTGGAGAAGTCAGTTTGTGAAACAGACAGTAAGAGACAAAAAGCAAAGAGCCCATTGTTTTAGAATCATTCCTTTAATCCCAATTCCAAGCTAATGTTTTAGGAGCAGGTGTGACCCTCTTCTCTCTTGCTGGTTTTAAGGTAAATGAAGCAGTTCACAGTATCCTGGTTATTTTTACAATCTGGCACAAAATCCATTATAACCAGATTAGAGGAGGAAATACTCACAACTAACAGATGTGTTGCATAAATACTGAGTATGCAAAACAGGATTTAAACTAAGTCGATTTGTAAAGGAAGGCAAAGTACTAAGATATTCCCAGCATATTTGGGGAAACTGCCATGAAGTATTGCTCACAGCACACCCAGAACACACCCCCCGGTATTACTTGTTTCTCGAGGAGTAACTTTTTCCATAAGCCTCATGCTGGACTTGTGTGTGCAGGAACATATTACAGCAAGCTTTTCACTGCTTATACAGATTACAATACAGTTTTTGTCAGTGAATGCTCCTCTCACCTGGGACTTTGTCAACAGATGCAAAGACAGAGCGCTGCACTGTGGGGTCGCTGCTCCCACGGCGGGACTGGTCGTAGAATCTAAAGGGGAGGTGCTGGGCTGTAGCTCCAGAGCTGTGTCCAAAACCCATAACTTCAGTTGAAGGCTGAACAGGAAGATCCAGGAGAGCTATGTTTAATCACAATTGATAATATTTGTTACTCAAAAATACATAAAAGGAAGAGGAGGTGAAAATAAAATTGATAGCTTATTCAGGATCTTAAGGCTAAACCAGATTTTTCATGTGACTTGTCTGCATTTGCCTGTTAATTATATTTATAATTGTGTTGGAAAACAAGAGAGACAATGATTCCGGCAACCTGTTCTACCATTGCTGTCCACATCATATTCATACTAAGGGAACCCCAGAATAAACAGTGGAGGGCTAAAAAAAACAGGATTGCAGGAAGTTCCTTGCACCAGACAAGCCATAGGAGTTATTTAAAATAAAAAATCCTTTTGTTTTTCCCTGTACAAATAAAGTAATTCATTAGTTACAACTGAACACTGCAGAGAGCCATTGAAAGAGACAAAATCCTTTAAACCAGTAAAAAAATGCCTTTGCATTACCATTCAACTTAAAACTTTTAATATCAAGTAGGTCTGTACTACCCTCAGACTTGCTTTAAATTTTTTTATATGAAGCAAGCCATAAAAGTATGACATATTCACTTTAGAAACTCAAAGTATAAAGTTCTTTTATTAGCTTCCTACACATCCATAATAATCTTAAAGCATCTATAATCAGAATAATTCTCTGGTCTACTCAGTAATTTTAATACCAGCTATTACTTTGTTTTTCACAGATCTGATTAGTTCATTATTGCTCTTGGACTATCCAAGTAACTTAGATAACAGGGCTTCTTTTTATTTGCACACTTATTTTCCTTCCTATATGTCAGAGCTTCTTTTTCTATACTCAACAGTTCCCTCAGTTTACTGCTAAGCTTCAATTTACTCTTCACTCACTTAATATTCAAGTAATATTTGAATCACTGCTATTTCCTCAAATTAACTCTTTCCTTCATGTCTTCACAAGCATTTCTCCCAAACACAGGAATCTAGTGCTGATGTGCCACTCAACATTTTGGATTGCCCATCATCACCACATCCAACCATTATCATCAAGACCATCAGGACACCATCCAACTCAAGCAAACTGAGCTCCAATTGAGTCTTGGGGCAGCAGGACATCTGCTTTCTATTGGAATTCTGAACCACTGAACCACACTTGAAGAGAAATGCACAATTATTGTACAAAGAGTTTTGTACAATAATTGGCAGCAAGTGGCAACAAGACAGGATTCCTCTTTCATCCTTTCCTGAACTGTCTGTCGTAACTACGAAACCACATATTTCACTCCAGTAAAATCTATCACTTGGAAACTCGACGCCGCTTTACAGCTTTCTGTAGCCACCACTTTTTAAGGTTTCTGTGCCTCACCCTTGTGTTACAGAGTGATTTGCAATGGCACACCAGCCTTGTTTCCAGACCCACTCACCTGCTATCCTCTGCATTTTCATGCGCCGGGCCTGGATGCGGCCCTTTGCCAGGCGCTGCTTCGCGATGATGCAGCGGATGTGATCCGAGAAAATGAACGTGGCCTGAAGGATGGGGAAGGGCTTGGAATGAGGGCTTGAGGCAGGCTTGTGGATGATTATGTTCAGAGCTCTGCTGTCATCCTCTACTCCCGTCACCTGCATGTCCTAAAGAGAAGCACAAGGCAAGTAGTTAATGAAAAAGCAAGTTTTTTTTTAAAACTATAGGTTAAGTATCAAAATTAAAAGAAAACGCTATGAATGTTCCATTAAAGCTCTTACAAAGACAGTTTCCGTGGTAAAAACCCCAACAAAATAAAACCAAAACAACCTTGGTTTGCAACCTTGTGCAATTTGTACAACCTTGGATTTACTCCTTCAGAAACTGGTATTCAGAGAGATTTAGTCAGTTTAAAATTCAATTAAACTATCTGAACATAGCAAATTTTCAGGAGGTAAAAACAAGGCAAGGAGACACAAATGAGAGAAACTTCCTAAAGCTTTTGAAATCAATTAGATAAGCACAAATCATTTTGAAGTTGCAACTTGTCACCTTCCCTACTCATGGAGGAAGATCTTGAAAAGTTCATTACTCTGCTACTTGAGCAAAGTGTTTGGGACTCGATCCTAGTTGGAAATGACTTCAGTGTTCAATTGAACACAGCCCAATATATACTAGGAAAGTCACCTCATCTTCAAGTATGTTTCTACTTAGCTGTGTAAACTTCTTCAGAAAATCAGAGATGTTTTAAAAGGCAGGAAGCAGAAAAAAGATTAGTAACTGAAGAAGCAAGTAAGCATTGTACAGAGCTTAAATATGAAAGCTAATATTGGTATTACTATTTATCCAACACAAAATGTAGATTTTCAGGTGAGAAAAGTAACCACCTAGATTACAACTTCTCTTACCTGCAAAAGGCCTGCAAACTTTACTACTCCCCATCCAAGTCTGGCAATATCTGGTTCAACCAAACTCATCTGGTAAATATCCACAGCCAGAAATCTTTGAACTTGACCCCCATCCTTTGTTATCACTGTACAAGCAATCAGATCACTGTTATCTGAAGGAAGAAAGGAAGGAAAAAGGTTATTTAATCACTGAAGTCACGGATTCTGGGGTTTGAATGTTTTACATAACATAAAATGTTAATATATAAAAGCATCTTGACAACACATGGTTAAAGCTTTTGTTTGCTTTTTTAATAAATATTTTAAGTTTCACCATAATATTTATAGCTACATAGAAAGGGTAAGTTAGATTTTAACAACAGTGGTTCAGACATCTGACAAGTTACATATAAGATGGGTATTATACACACCTTGTTTTCTCTCCCCACCTTCATTATCTTTCAGTAACACAGGTCCCCTCATCTCAGGAGTGAAATTGCAACAGTGTTGATGTGTCTCACTAAGTGGAAGTCTCAAAAAGTTTTGTTGGAAGATCAGAGACAATCCTGCACCACTGCAGGCAATTATTTCTACCTTGTTAGAAACTCTGGCTCCTGACACAAGTGACACAAGGTACATTTGCACAGGTCTGAAACCTGATATTCTGACTATTGGAAGCCCTTCAACTTCAAGATCACACAGACTCTCCAGGTAAACTGTAGCAGGCTTTTGCCAATATTTGTTAAATGAGGTGATATTTTTTCCTTTACCCATGCATTTTATTCACTTATATTGAACAAACATCCCCTTTCTTTACCATTACTCCAGGACCCCTCCAACAAGCCCCCAGACAAATCCTCCTGTATCTCCTCACTGCCCTTGTTCCAGTTCAAACCCATTGTTCTTGAAAAGGGATTCAATCACCTTCTTTACACCACCTGGAATCTACCAAGCACCCCTTAAACTGCCACAATTTCTAGCAGACCTTTGCTAATCTTAACTAGAGTTGCTTTTTCCTTTGCTTCAAACTGATACTTTAATTCATATACTTGATATACACAGGTCTTTTTCCACTCTCTTATCTAGTACAATTTATAGCAAGTAAAATATTCTGAACATTATACAGAACAGTAGAACTTAAATTTACTCATCCAAACATCTAATCAAGTAGTTAACACCATATTTCATACTAGAAACATTTGCAGGATAGATACAAAAGCTACAAGTGGAAGCACACAGTTTTTTACAGTGGCAGGTCATACAACTACAGGCAACAGCCATAAATTATGGTTGGGAGGTGGAAGAAATTCCTTTGTGCATAATACAGCACAGCATGTTACCCAGAGAGGCTGTGGAATTTATATCACCAAAGGTTTTCAAGTTTCAAAAAACCAAAACCAACAATCCTCCCCAAACCAACCTCCTCTTCCTCCCAAAAATCCCCCCACACCACAAGCGTGAGGTCCCTTCCAACTAACATTTCTCTGAATCTACAAATTACCCTTTACCAGCAAAATCCATTCAAAATTGATTGGGTGATAGGAGATGAAAAATGGAACCCTAACACAATTAAAAGAGGATAATTAATGCTAATCCAGTGTGAATTTACTGTGAGCTTTTGAAATTTGAGAAAACAAGTTTAATCAATAAATGCAATACATACAGGACGTGATACAGTTACATGAGGATTGATTGCTATTACCTTCTCACAGCCCTAGAAGGCTCAAGAAATCCATACAGGATTGGCAAATATTACTACAGGAGCCTGTGGAATATTTATTCCTGTTTAGAGAAGGAGCTGAGACACCAGGCAGAGAATCATAGAGGAGATCTAAAATGGCAAAGTAGGCAACTGAATCCTACTGAATATTATTGCACCACTAGCATTCTAATAATCTGAACAATAAAAGATAAGCCACAGAAACAGAATAAAACAAGAAAATCCGTGTCAATATTTATAAAGTTTTCAGTGCAACAGCAAGAAGATTAAAATACTTGTAATTATTGCTGTACAAATTCACCTGCCCGACTACAAAAATGTACTTCAGGTAAAGTACTTAAGGGGCAGAAGTTGCTTTCCAGAGCCAAAAGTTTTCATTTTAGATCTGACAAAAACTTGAAGTAAAACTGTAAAAGTTTATCAAAGAACAGAAGGGAAAGTTACTCATTTATTAGGCAACTGTTTCAGGAATCCTTTGAGCTTATACAACTGAGTGAAGGCCATTTCAGCTCACAGCTGCTGAAAGGTCAAAAGCTACATCATCCTTGACGACAAAAACAGACGATAAAGTGTAGTTAAACAAATTTCCAGTGAACTGATCTGAGAATACTCACAGCTATACTATGAAACAGTTACACAACACATAGCTAACACATTTAGATGAAAATACCAAGCCCAGTAAAATTCAGTTTGAAACTGAAAATTTGATCTGGAGATTAAAGTGAATCCCAGGTTGAAAGGCCATTCAATATCCATATGACACTGCTGCAAAGAAGTGTGCTGTCCTTCCTGACAGTAATTACATTGCCTAATTTTTCCTCATGCAAAATGGAGCCTGTAGCCAGTTTGGACACTACACCTCCAAGACCTGGATCCAAGAGTTCTGTGGACTTTCTCAAAGAAAAATACAAGTCGTAGGAAACAACCAAGGAAGGAGAGTTCAAAGACCTCAGCTGCTTGCAGCACAGATGTACATTAGGTGAAAACAGCTGACTGTGTTCATGCAGTACCTACCTGAAAAGACTGCATTACATGAATTCTTTACTAATATAACAGCTACTTGAGGAGATGGTCTAAATGTACCTGATCTGCCTCAGGGCTTGATCTTTAATGATTTTATAATTTACTGTCATCACAATTCCAGAAATCATCTGCAGGCACTAAAAGCTCTTACAGAAAACTTTTAGCCCTTTGGATGCACAGCTGGTGGCCCAAGATAAGCATCATGCTGCAGAAAGTTAATGCACCACCTCCCACTTGACAAGAAGAACCTTTCCCAACAGCACAGAGCCCATTAGGTATGACATTCTGCTTTACTGCTTACTAAGAATGCAACAAATCAAGGACCCACCCAGATGTTCCCACAAAGGACATTTAGCTGAGATTAGAGGATGTGTCCCTGGTCATACACCTGCACCACATTTTGGCTTCCTCTCTTTTCTTCAAATATGACAAGTTGCACTGGGCAACTTTCTCTACCTGACTGTTTTGAGCAGGGGAGTTAGAGTAGGTGATCTCCTGATGTTCCTTCCAACCTCAATTATTCCATCATAAACTTTTCTCAAACATTTTTTTTAGAAATATTGGCTGCTTTTCTAAAGCTTGGATATTTGGTAGAGACAGAGTGCACAAGGAGATTTAAGTATAATGCGACTTATTTTCAGTTTCAGCAAAGAAATAACAGCTTTAAATGTACCATCATTTACCTCTTGGTCATGATATTTAAAATATTGCCACGAACAGAATGGTGTTACCAGCCTGAAACAAAGCACTGAGGTTGTTAATTTGAGCTGCCAGTAAACCTCACACAGTGAGCTGCTGACTAAGATTAAAAAGATACCTGCATGAGACACCTACAGCCTCACATGCAGTCTGAGGCAGGCAGTTATCACACAACACATGAGTGATTCAAAACTATTTACAGTAGAAAAACAACACTGAAAAGTAATAGATATCATTCTGGTGGCAGCATACCCAGCAATATGGAATGAACCTTCAGTGGAATTCCCTGCCTCTCAACACACACATTTATATATAGTGCTGACAACCTTGCAACTACACCTAAAGGTTTACAATGAACATATGCCCATCAAAATATTAAAATGTGTCTTTACAAGATACTTTAATCTTTCTTATCCAGCTCTCATAAAACACCAGCATTGCATTCAGGCAAAAGGAAAAAAAAGTAATTTTGATAAAGTCAGTTCTGCAGGATTTTTCAAAATCCAGACAGTAGCTGAAACCATTAGTGGATCATGTTAACCTCCACTTGACACTATTTGTATATAAACAACCATAACCACTGGAAGCATCTTAATGTTCAGAAGAATTTTTAAAGACTTGTGATAATACAGATTGAGGAAGATTTGTTACATCAACAATATCTCCGAAGTGATAATTAAAAAAGGTAAACAACTAGAATTTTTGAGGTCTCATTTTGCCCATGCTAAGTCTCCTGCCAAGATAAGGCATCTATGCAATGATGTGTATCCTGTATGCTTTATGCCAAAATGCTGATATTCTCCTGTTTCTCTCTTTTGGGTAACATAAAAGACTTGAACTGGAAAATAAGTTTTTATATTACAACACACACTGGAACTTCACCTCTGTAATACCTCAATTCAGGTAGTTTAGGTAACAATAGCAGTAATAAGCAGTTTAGAGGGAAAAAAAATTAAGCCAGTAACTTCTCCATGTCAGACTATTTGGGAAATTGAGGGACTACTTACTCAAATCAAGAACATCATCAGTCTTTATCAGATCTCCCTCCCTCGTGAGTGGTAACTGAGTTTCTGGCTCATCTCGCAAGTGCAGTGACAGCGAACGGAGCATAAAGAAAACTCTGATTGCCTTGAGAAATTAAAGAAAAGAATATTAAAATATTGCTACACCCAGTACTACATATTTTAACAGAATCTTACAAACATATCCTGGCTTTTACAACCCCCGAGTTTGTTCTCATACAGTAAAATCTTCATTTTAAATTGATAAAGTAGAATGTAATTTCAAACTTAGCTAGAAAAATACATAAAAGAAGTTGAAACCTGCAATTTTCAATGAAGTGGAAGCAGCAGAGCTTTTTTGGCACTGGCACACTTAGACAGACTGTGACTGACAGGTAATTTTTTCTTTAATAATTATTTTAAGACTGATTGTATTTGCAATACCTGTATGCTACAAACACCTCCACAACCAGCCTTCAGAGACTGTCACATTTTGAAATTAAAGTAGTGATAACTTTTCTGGCCAAGCCTAGCTAAGATGTCTGCAAGTTAGAGAGAAAACAGTGGGGATTTTTGCATTTTAATTTGCTGTGTTCATCAGAACTAGCCACATATAATACAACATTCTTGGAGCACTTGATTCATATTCTCAGAAGGTCTGTACCAGGGCAAAGCATTCTGAAAGCTGCACTAGGCCCAAGAAACTTTCAACAGCTGCTCTGTGAAATTAATAAGCTGGTTTTGATTTATAAATTCATGACATATGGTATGCAAAGACCAAAAGTGTCAAAGAACAATCATCATTTTATTAGCCACATTTTGAAAGGCACCATTTATAATCCTCTTCCCCTACAAGAACTGTATTTTCAGTATAGTAAATGAAAAAATCATTTTTTATTACTTCTGGTGTTTTGTTTTTTAAGAGTTTCCTACACAGTAATTCTGTGGCATACTGTAAATTAACTGCTGCCTTACAGTAAAAGCATTGAATTCATGAACAGCTGCAATGCCCAGAAACTCCCAGATTGCAGGAAGTATCAGGAAAAACAAATTAAAGTGCTTTAAGGGAAAACCCTTCACCCCTCTATTTTTAAAATCAACAGAACTGTGGCTCCTGTGAACCAGCAATGTGAGTGCTTGGCCAGCCATCATCCTGGCAGAGTTTCCAGAAACTTCTGGCACAGCAGGGATGAAGAGAGGGAAGTCATGTACCCAGCTCTTCCATGAAATGACAAAGCAGATGAATTTGGCATGCTGTTGAAATCTAACAGGGCAACATGATTCTGTGAATCAAAGGATGTCAAGTATGATATTAACACTGGCTTATTCATAAGAACAGAGTCATTTTGTAATGGCAGATCTCTCCCCTTTAGGCAGATTGCATTCTAATGGACTGTGGATTTACTGAAATTATATACTATTACTATAAAGCACTTTTACTATCAGATGTTTCAAGAAAAATTCACAATACTGGGTGTAAGACTTTTCAAATTCAACCAAGAACAGGACTATTTTTGGTAACCCAAAAGTCAAACCCAACAAGGCATTTGGGTTTTTTGTTTGTTTGTTTTTTGTTTTTGCTTTTTTGTTTGTTTTTTAATTTAGAGGACAGGCATCACTCAGCCTGCCTTCACTTATTTTTCCCTTCAATCCTCTTCCTCCTAGACAGCATTAATTTTTGTTGCATACGTTCCCTATAAAACAAACATCTCTCATCTCCAAACACATAATCACATTTACTGCAGATTAATGTACAGCAGGTAGGAAACAAAATTAGAACTTTAGCCTTTGCAAGAAAAAAATTAAAAAACAAGAACATCAGATGAAAAGGGAGTTACAGTGTGCTTCCTACAATATTGACAGCCTTCAGTTTGTTAGCAATATCAATATAAATCCAAAATCATGTGAGCTGGGCCTTCCTACAAGAGTTTATTGCCACGTAGAGACTTTCTATAGTGAGAGAAGTCAGAGCCTAAAAAGATCTGATCTCTAACAGCTAAGAACTCACAATATAATCGAAGTAAGGGACTTCTTCACTTGCCAGTGAAACAAAACTCAAGAACTTTTTTGGAATCATGACACAGGATGCTCAGAATCAACTGTTCATTTGAAACTGTCAGCAAAACCCCAGAAGTGGCAGCAGCAATGTCACAAGATAGACCTCGAGTTCAGCACATTGTTATGGCAATTCAGCAAAGCAAGGGAGCCCAGCTGGAAGAAAGCAGCCCAGGAATTGAGAAAATGCTAAAACTTGTAGAGCAATGTGACTGGGGAGGGACAATCGACAAGGAAGCATTGTGGGACTTCTTGTGGATGATAAAGCCCCTTTCATCCCAAACACTCTACAGGAATATTTGCATTGATTTTTTGATTTCCACTAACAGAAGTTAAGCTATTCCTTATTTAGCTCATGAAAACCATGGAACAGTCAGTTTCCACTAATGTGCATTTCTAAGTATCCTTCTGTTAAATGCCTCAGAGAGAATTCCAGGAAGCATTTTTGCTTTCTAAGAATACTTTTCAAAATAATTCACTGTATTTTATCAGACAGTTTGTGGTGATTACAAAAGCTGTGTGGTTCACAATAAGTAATGAAAACAAACCTTTTCAGAAGATTCCTGGAAAAATGTTTTTTCTTCAAGGGTACTTGAATATATGTACATATTATGTAAATGCAAAGAAACCCAAAGAATAGCACTTTTCAAATAATAATGTCATGTAATAATATCTCTCTTAGACTTACTGGCACTGCAAAGCTTACAGGACACTGCCAGATATGGGCCAAGAACTGATTAACCTAAGAATGGTGATAATGATTCAGGTCAGTATTACCTCTACAGATTGTGTCAGTCCTGAAAATAGATATTTTGCTATTTTTCTCCTCATTCTCAAGATCTCTGTCATTAATTACTTTGAACTCTAGAGTAGAGTTAAACTTTTTGTCATGTGTAGAAACATGAGCAATATGAAGCCAGCCAGCCTTCCACTGGAGATTCCCAATACAGGAATATAATTGTAAGATAGATGGAGATATCTGACAACATATTAATGAGTCTCATCCAAATACCTTTGTATGTAGATGTCTGTATGATCTGAAAAATAAAACCCCACTGCAAGAACATGTTGTGTTGACTAGGCACAGGAAATCATAGAGAAAAAGTTTTTCTTCACTAGGACAGGTAATTATTTTATACTCTGCACAGGTCTGTCTTCACCAAGTCTTTCTCATTTTATGGACGAAACTTCCAACCAAGCAGTTTTCAGGGAAAAATATTATTTGTATTTCTAGAATTGTGCAAGGACTTTGGCATCATTTTGCCATGAACAAATATAAGAAAAATAGTCTTACTCACTCTTCGTGTTCTTTCCACATCTCCACAAGGCAATCTTTTCACAAAATCAATACCAGTCAGTGGTGTCCCCGTTGGAGGCAGTAAGATTGAAGCATCCATCATCAAGTATTCTACATTCATGGGTTTAATCTATAAAAGTATTTTAACATTGATTACCATACAGGACAATAAACATTTGCCTCTTTGCTTTCAAATATAACTCATTGTTCCATATTCCAGAGTTCTGAGAAATTTTAATACCAACTGTCTTACTTGAAGCCCCTTACAAGCAATTTCTGTTTTATATTTGTTCACTGTTCCCTCACACACTGTTGAAGTTTCCATACTGATAGAACAGGGGGCAAGCTCCAAAAGATTACTGAAGAACTACTTCCCTAACACTAAAACCCAAATTTGTCAGGTTTGCTTTTAAGTTTTGACTTAAATTTGTGATTACTTCCACCACAAGAAAGAGTTTCCTATAACTTTTTCTCTCCAGAAATAACTTTCTAGTTTCTAATAATGCAGCAACTTTCAAAGTTAGATATTTCACTAAAAACTTCTATTATTTAGGCTGGTAAGATATGTGTAAGATGTTTCCCATATTAAAAGACTTATTACAACACATCAACTGTAGATTGTGCTTTTTCAAAGAGACAACGAGCAGCTGCTCATTAAATCCCTCACCACTGGGGAAAAAACCCTGTAATTGAGTACCCAAAGCATTTTTATCTGAACTCCAACCTAAGAATTGAAACAGATAATTACTTTTAAAACACATTTACAGGTTAAATATGAACTGAGATCAATCTTAGTAATCCATTAACACCTTCACAGGCAGTACCTCTCCTAGAGCAAAGGGCTCAACGTTTGCTTGCTCCAACCTTGTTTTCCACTGGTAAATAAAGTGACACCATCAAAACTGAGACCTTGCTGGGCTTTGGACAGATATAGGAAGATTTTCATATTGTTTAGTAACTAAGGAAAAAATAAATCCAATGTCCCATTTACGAGGATAATTTTTGTATACTCCATCTCAGAAAGTAATGGGTTTTACTAAATAAAGAGTTGTGAAATTTCACATAAACAATTTATGTAAGCAGAGACACGACTCCTCAGAGATAAAACCACATTTTGTTATTCTCCTGTCAGCAATAAAGACCCCAGTGTTCTCAGTAACTATCAGTAACTGTTCCTGCTCCTGTGCTGTATCTGGGTTTGAGGATTTGGCAGAAAGGTTGTCACTTACTGTCATACTCCGGTATTCGTCTTCAAACATATCCAGAAAAATTTCTTCTCCCTTCCAAAAGCAAGAATATGGACACACCATGAAACCCGAGGGCTGCAGAGCCAGGTTTGTTTGGTTTGATTATGTACAGGGTGTCTGTGAGGGGAGGCCTCTGCAGGACACTGCTGAGCACCACAGCAATGCTGATGGGAAAACACACCAACAGGGAGAGGGATTCCTCTGCAGCCCCTGGAGAGGACCATGGTGGAGCACATACCCACAGGGCAGCAGGAAGATGTGCCCTGAAAGAGCTGCAGTCTGTGCAGGACCCACAGATTATTTTCCTGAAGGACTGCAGCCCATGGAGGAGGAGATCCACACTGGGGCAGGGGAAAGTGTGAGGAAGAAGAGGCAAGCAAGAGATGAACTGTCATGGCCTGACATCAAATCCCTATTTCCCCATCGCCCCTACACCACTCAGCAGGGGGAGAGGGCAGAAGAGACAGGAATGAAGGAACAGAGTTGAGCCTGGGAAAAAGGAGAGGTGGGGGGGAAGGTGTCTGTTTTTATTTTTAAATTTGTCTTTGTTTCTCGCTATCTAAATTTATTTTTATTGGCAATAAATTAATTTTTGCCAAGCTGGCTCTGTTTCACCCATGACTGTAATTAGCAAGTGACCTCGCAGTTCTTTATCTTTACAGCAAGATACTCTCTTCTCTCTCCATCCTGTTGAGGAAGGGCAGTGAAAGAGCAGCTGAGTGAACCTCTAGCAGCCAACCATAAGGTGACTTATTTTTTGGAAGCCATATTGAGCAAACAGTCTTCAAAACTATTCTGACAAAAACAGGAAGATATTTCAGACACTTGAAATCTCTAATGGATTTATTATTCCTAATATGGAAGTTAACACCCAGATCTTATCATTTTAATTATTTCACTGTTTACAACACACACACACACAAAAAAGGCAAAAAGCTGCAAAGGTCTCCAATAAGAAAAAAAGATTAAGTACCAGCATTTCAGATAAGACACAAACAAAAAATAATGTCAAAACCAAACACATTCAATATTAGTGCCAATGATAAAATCCCAGGAATCGTGCTCTAATTGTGTGGCTCCATTCCATGAAACACATAACAGAAGCAACAAAGGGGCATGACTGCTAACTTGCCCTCCAATATAAACCCTGAGTCTTCTAACAGCCCTTTTGTGACATATGTCAGTGTGGCATGGGAAGGGCAGGAAAGGAAAGGAATCCCACAACAAAACACTTCCTTTTCTGTCACAAATTTGGAGTTCTCATATTAAAAAAAGTGCTGCCTTGGGCACCAGTAAAGACTGGGCTGCAGACTTGCTTCTAATTCCACATGATGTAAAGGACTCTTTCTTACAGCATTTTGCATATATACCTTGTAGAAACGACGCAGGAGATGAACACTTTCTTCCCTGGCACCCTAGAAAAGATAAAATGATTTTCAGGGAGTACATACACAATTTACTTATTAATCACATTAAAAAACCCACCCAAAAACTCGTATAGAAGAGACTGTCTATTGATTTCCCCACACACAGTTTTCATCCCAGAATTTGACAGAATACATTCTGAACTTCTGAAAATACAGCTTATGTGAGCTTATTAGTTTCAAAAGAACTTTTCTTTACATTGTTGAGGTGGATGACATGCAAATTTCAGAGAGAAAATTAAACCTAACACTGCTTGGGAAGTTATGAGTTTAAATAGCATGATAACAGCAAAGCTGGGGACAGAACAGAGCTTTTGATTCTTCTGCACAGAGCCACCAATGCCAAGATGTTCTAGAAGCTCAAATTTCACATTTAGGCTTACTGCAATCAGAAATGAAATAAATTTATTCAACTATATTACAAGACTCAAAGACTAGTAATGTTGTGACTGGAAATTTGAAAGAAAATACTCACCTCAAGACAAGCAAGGTGAACATCTTTTATGATGCTGCCATTTTTAGAAAACACGAGCTGCTTCAGCAACAGGCACCCAAGTTCTAAAGTTGCCAAACGGATTTTTCCATCTATGAAAAGAAAATTTCAATACACAAAGAAGCAGCAGTTTAATTATTGTTCTTCTCATTATCTAATGTTCTTTAATATTTTTACTTTTCCCCCAGTTGTCAAACTTGGCTCCTCTGTCACACACACCCTATCAGACAAGCATGACTGCAGATGCTGGCTTACAATGCTGATGGTTAAAAAAGAAAAAGAATTGGAAGAGTAATTTAAAACAGAAGATAATTTAAAGCAGAACTGTGCAATAAGAAGGCAACAAAGATTAACACTGTTGAAAAATAAGCCAAACCCATGCCTTCATTAATCTGCAACCACAGGTTGAACTACACTAAAATTACAAAAGGATCAGAGACATTTGGCATGGATAAAGTCACAAAGTGAAAGGCAGCCTTGTATGCAGTATACTAATAAGGTATAGTTTTTCCTTAAAAGAAGTCCAAAGGATTCAGATACAGCCTGGATCTGAGAATCCAGGGAAGTCAGAGTGAAAGAATGCACTGAGATTTTAAGCTTAGTGTCAGAAGGATTTTAAAAAACGATATTAGAAATTATGTACAGTCTGAGCTCAGTGATCTACACTAAGACAGTATATCCAAGAGACAGACTGACATCTCAGCTTTTGACTCCAACTCCTTCTTTACCACTTCAAAAGTTAGCACTATGCTGTCAGAAACTAAAGATACAAAGGTCAGTACTGCCTCCAAAAAAGAGAAGAGATGTTCTACACAGCATTTATCAAGTGTAATAAAAATCCAGTATTTCCACTCCTCCCCAGCACGTCCCTCCCCAGACAAGCCTTTACTTAAATAAATGCATTTCCTCATCTTGCACTCTTCCCTGTTGCTGCATGTATAAACTCTTCATATATAAACATGTTTTTAATCTCTGACTGGCACATCAGCACTAGTTAATGCTCTCAGATCAGTCTTGCAAGTCAAATAAACATTAGATTTTATTCTGCAAACAATCAGGAATTTGATAATGTGTCCGTTTCAGGGGAAAACCAGTTCCACTCATTTGAAGTTTTAAGGGGGGAAGTGCAGGGAGAAGAGTTGTGGCTTGAACAAAAGTCATATTTCCATGGAATGGGTCACTGAGCATTGTAACCAGATGGTTTTTTTCCAGCTTCAAAAGTTTCAGCTTGGAAGGAAAACAAATACTGGAAAAGCAATACCTGGTTGTGCAGCATAATTCATTATCCTGATGAGCCTTTCTGCAAGTACATGATTATACGAGTTTCTCTCTTCAGCATGTTGAGCTGGAAGCTGAATTCTCTCCAGCTTGACTGGGTCAATTCCTTTTTCAGGGGTGAAGGAAGAAAGGCAAATTAGAAAACAGGAGTATATCCCGAGGCAAGTATTTAACAGACCACAGTAGTTTTCTCAGAACATAATAATTAGCAATATGAAACTAGGCAAGTTAGCTTTGAATTAATATTACAAGGAGGAACAACAGAAAGACTAAAGACATTGATGAATCCCTGAAAATTCTCAGCCTTAAACAGAGCACTCAAATCCCAAAGTGGTTGGTGAAATCCAAACTATTTTGCTGTTTCTGAAATTCTAAAACTATTTGTTTGCATCTAAATCAAATGAAAGTCAAGTCATATATCTGAAGAGCATAGTGACTGAAGGAAAAGGTGAAAGTCTGATTTTAAATTCTGCTCTGGTAGTAAGTGATCTGTTCACACACGTTTAAAAAAAATAAGAATATTATTTTGTAAGTAGAAGCCTCTGATTGAGTACCCTCTCCATGCAAATTAAATTCCCCCTGAATGGTTGTATAAGGAAATTAATCCCATTTTTCTTCAACATATTCCTCTAAAATATGGAGATATTTCTCAGAATAGACTGGTTACTGTAAGACCTCTTAGGACAATACATAATTATGGATTGCTGGGAATCTCCCTGTCCTGTTCTAAAGAATGGTAATAAACAATCTCATAAAACAGAAGATGATTATATTTAGGTTTACAGTTTCTTCCAACCCTGGCCTTGTAGTTAACTCTGCATAACAGCACTTACCTTTGTTGTGTGACATTGCATATAAAAGACAGAGCACAAAGAGGGCATAGTAATCATCTTCAGGACAGTCCAGTGCATTATAGACCATATCAAGAAAAGGTCTGTGGAAAGGAGTAATTTAAAAAAGAGAAAAATGGTTAAGAAAGAAACATATCTATAGAAAAATGAGTAACTATCTTATTCTACATGTAGCTAATGGAAGAGGCAAATTTACAGTAAGGTACATTTTCAGGCATTAAAAAAATTTCTGTTACAGAGTACTCAGATTATAGCCATGCCTTGCATTTACACTCTGCCAATAATTCTGATGCTTTAACAGGATTTGTTACATAATACTTTCCCAGGAATTGATTGTTCAAACATTTACTGGTTGTTTGTGGCACATTTAGTATGTATTGAAAGCTTGTTCTAAGTGTATACGTAAGCAACTTCAAGGAGCTGCTCTCACTGTTGCATAAAAGAAAGAGAATACCTCCAAACTCATGTACTAAACAGAGTTGAAAAGTTCTATTACAAGGAAGCATTTTTCATCAGAAGTTTGGACAAAGCCATTTTGTTCTAGAACAATCAACAACTTTACCATGCAACAGTTATAGGAAAGAAAAATTAATAAGCAGGTAACATTTGAATGAAAAAAAGAAAGCTTTGGATTGCAGATAAACTTTGTTTTCCTGAGTTTAAACACATGTGACCTATGACACTTCTGCAGGAAGTTACAAAGTGCCAAGTTCACCTTTTACCTGTACCCTGAAGAGACCACAAAAGTCAATGTAATCCAGAAGCCGTTTGGACAGATCAGATATGGCTGAGATTTAGCTGATATGAGCACGAGCCTGACTGTAAGGCAGCTTGGCTTCTTGTCTTAGGCTGGCTTGCATCCAATCAGTTGCACCAGTTCAGAGTGTAAGTGAAAATTCAATATATTTTCACAACTGGTCCAGACAAACAAACAATATATCAGGGAAGTGTCACAGTCACCAGAAGATGACAGTCTAGAACCCTGAGTGAAATGAGTTAATTCCCTACCTTTTGAAGTATTTTTTAATAGGGAAAGGAAAAAAACCCCTTATATTACCTAAATTACATTCAAATAAAATACATTAAGGTAACATCAAAGTCATAAAAACAAAGACATTTTCCTGTCTTCAGAGCTAGCAGACAAGAAGCATCCACTACAAACTCATGGTTGTGGTCAGCTGAGGGTCAGCAGGGCTATCAGAGCCCAGAACACAACATACTTCAGTACCTCCTCCAGGCCTGTGGCGCCATCATGGCCACACTTAATGTGCCCCAGTAAAGCCACCAAGTCATAACAAGGGACTTGACCTTCCCGTCAGCTCCACACACATTTCACCACCATGTTCTCTTTTACTGAAACAAGGCAGTGATCAGATTCACAGACCACGTTGTTCCTCTGCTCAGTTCCTGACACTGCAGCACGTCGCCTGTTTCTGAAGCTCCATCACAATCATCCTCTGCGGGAAACCCCACCAAGTTATGATCCCTCTTTGCCCAAGGTCAACACCTCTCTGTGCCTAAGTCAAATTTCCCACATATTGTAGATCTTAAAAGAATGTAACTATTCAAGGAAAACCAACCTAAATAATTAGCAATGTTGAAAACAAACCAAGAGGGCCTTCAGGCTTCCTAAGTGTTAAACAAATCCTAAAGCCTCATGTCACCCTCAGACTGGGGGCTTTTCACACCACAGGGGGAATTCAGCTTCAAGGGTTAAAGAAAGAGGACCAAGACATCCAGGTTCAAGATATTAACATACTTAAATACAAGATAACATGAGGTCTGCTTTCAGACCAACAGACACTAACTAACCTAAAATGTGACCTATGATATAAAAGTAATGTTTAATATAATTTTGTTAAAGCCAGTGGTTTAGCAGGACAAAGCTGCTGAAACATCAGTAGCTGTTCATATAACACCAATATTACATGGTATTATATGATTTCTGTAATTTCTAATGCATTTTTCATTGTTTTAACCCCTGCATACTAATTAGATTTGTGAAATTACATCACTTGAAAAAATTACAGCAGCAAGAGAAATCGTTCTCATTCCAGATGCTTCTTCACAGCATCTCTCTATCTGCATTACCAGAGTCTCAGTCCCAATAACCTGAGGCCAAAACAACTTCCAAGAATCCCACTCACCAACAGTCCTCAAATAGACTAAATACATGATGGACACAGGAAAAACTCAGCTGTAAGAAAATAGCAACCGAAGCCACAACATAGCACAAAGATTTCACATTCTGGAAAAAGGTTTTGCTGTACAGCATATTGCAAAAGAAAGGTAATTTAAAACATGTCTTTAAGCTCAAACTTTCCAGCAGTGAGGCCCATCAAAATAAAAATTACACCCTAAAATACTTCAACTGCCTCTTTTATGTTCTTCACAGCAGTAAAAGGGCTAAGGGAAACCGAAAACTTGACTTAGCTTTTAAAGCTTTTAAACTCCCTTCTGTGCTGTTTTCCATTCATTTTTCAACAACTATGGGACTATTTTTAAAAAACACTTTTAATAGTGAAGTCTGTATTGTAAATATTATCAAATATAAGTAGTTCTTAACTCTGTAAGCATTTTCTTCCTTTACTAGGCTTTTACTACCAACTTGACAGAAGAAGCAGATCAAATGCCATACAAGTGTTCTTCAAATTATTTATTCTTGTGGAGTGTGTCCACAACTGAAGACTGCAACACACTGGGAATCACAATCACCACAGTCATGAATGATTATTCCAGTTAGGGAAGGCTCACTTTGGGTATGGCATGATGTCCACTGCATTTTCCACTACCACATGGCACCTTATCCACAAGACTCAGTGATTTCCATCAGTGTAGGGCAGAAACTGTACACACTGGAGCAAATCTCTTGAGAAATTTAGCTACTGTTTCTAATACTACATTTGGCATAGAAGATAACACAAGATTTTAAGCTACAGCAGCTTATCCACAGGTATTTCCAAAAATTCACATATGTAACTAAGGCCACTACCAATTGCACTACACAAGGTCTATCCTTATTTTAAAAATATTTTTAGCTCTGCACATTCTTTGATATAGATGCAGGATGCTGTGAGATCATGTCTGCAGAACAAGAGAGTACTGAACTGCAGACATTTGCCAAATGCATCACATCTAAGGATTTTGCACTTTTTGAGACCTGAGCATCACAGTCATTTTAGTATTCAATGCAGTCATGACCAATTTCTTTATAAAAGCCATTTGGCACATATTTTAGTCAAATTATCAATAATCTAGAACAACGCATTTTAAAGTCAGTTCAAGTCAAGGTTCAATTTCACTTTTACAATGAAATGAAATGTTATCTTTATTAATGAATGTAATCTAAGGTACATCAAAGCTATAATGGAGACAGAATGAAATTCTGGGAATACCAGGCAGCATTTCCCAAGTTTAAAAATAAATTTAAAATGCTATTAAACATGTGCATTTCCCCACCAGACACATCTGCAAGTACTTTTGTGTCAGATACAGCACGTTTGGTTTCTTTTCTCTAACATCCTATTAACAGGAACACAAAATTCTTACTGAGAAGGTGCCTTACAGATATTTAATACATCCAAGTTTAAATTTTTAAGGCAGGGTGATTTCTGCTCCCAGAAACACTTAAAAACTGTATTTTCAATAGAAGTCTTCAATACCCTTAAGATACACTAATGGACCCTGGAAACTGTAGGTTAGAAGGGTTTATCTGTAACTACTACCACTAAAATTTTGCCAAATTCAGCCCTGAACTGAAGAGTTTTCCTTGTTTTTTTCCCTACGGGTGCATACAGAACTGACAAATGTGACCTTAAACATAATTAAGAAAACTTCTTCTGGTTTAATTTAGAGGTTTAGAAAATTCTGGAATGCAAACATTTATATTCTGGTTTTGTTGTGTTAATATTCTGTAATTTAACTTTACCAACTTAATGTACCACAATTGCCATAAAGGAAAGCACAAACTTTGCAAAGGAACAGGATCATTTGTGCAACTGATGAGCAGAGAGGTTACATCCCACTTTTCTGTTTATTCCCTTATATGTGATGCAGAAGAACCCTGTAATTTTAACTGGAAGCAGATTTGAAACATCCCTTAAGAGAATTGAAAGAGATAAGGGGAGGACAAGGAAGGAAACAATTCAGCAAAATATATTACAGTTCCTTTATACCTGTTCCAGTTTGTTATCTCACTCCCAGAAGCAGCTGCACTCTTTTCTTCATCTGTTGTATTCTGTTCTGTCACAGTAGAGATGGACAGCTCTGACAGCTTACACCTCTCCATGATTACCATCTCTATTTCTAAAAAAACCAAAACACACCACCAAAATTGGATATTTTTAAAGTTATCACAAGCTCTTCTCTATTTTCTGTTTGCCATTAGAAGTGACTGATGCATCTGTACATAAGAGGTATAACCACAGCCTCGGAAAGGTTAATGAATGAATAGATGTAGGCAAATTTTCTTCCCAATAAAGAACTTTGTTTACATTTCTTTAAGGAGTTTGATGAGATAAGAAATGTAAACATACATAAAATATGTAAAGAAATCAAACATATCATTTTGGCAAATAAACAAGCAACAGTAAGCTCCCTCCCCCACAAACCACAGGAAGAAAGCACAGAACCTCTTTCTGCTAAAAAGATTTCTCTGTGAGGATGCTGGTGAGAGTGGGGCATGGGTGGACATCAAGTTTCAAGGAGGGTGTAAAGAGGCCTCTACAATTACAGCAAACAGGACACCTGGGCCCTAAGTGCTTCAAACCTGACTTTCAGTGGAACCATTAGGACCAAATCCAGCTTTTGCTTAAGAATTTGGACAAAGATGATGACTAAATGCACTAGGTTAAACAGTAGATCATTTCAGATTTTCCTCAAATCTGATAGGCAATACACCATCAGCTATTTGGCACCATTTAAAGAAAGCCTTCTCAAACAGACTGCTTACCTAAACCTAAATTCAACCACGTTTGGACAGGACTGTCAAAGCATAACTCTTGTTTTCAATTGCTTGCATGCCATTCTGCCACAGAGGTTTTTTTTTTTTTCAATTTATGTCTAACAAATACCAGTTTCTGATGTTTTCCTTCTAATAGTTACTAACTAGTACAATAAACAGTTACAATGCACTGTAAGATCACTCATCCTATAAAACCAATTCTTCCTAGGTTTGCATTACACCAAAAACCCTGAAAATGTACGATTAAAAAAATCTAAGAGTTAAAGATGTTTTCAGTTTTGAACTATTTAATATCATCATCTACCATGTACTGTCACTTATAGCACACTTGTTAAATTTTACCATTGAAACATGCATAAAATACTCCCAAACCGTCGTGCATAGCTGAAGTGGCTCCAGCATCTGCCTCACCACAAAAGAAAACACAAAGTTGTCAAGTCTATTATTAAGTGCCCCATACCCACCCACACCTTGGTGCAAGGCATGCATTTGGGATAAGGGCTCAGGACTACAGGAAGATAGGAAAACACTTTCATAGTTTTTAATCAGATTAGAAGTACATGTTCTCACAGAATGATTTAACACGAGAAAAAAAATACAGCCAAAGACTTAAACAAACGTAATAGTCCTGTGTTTACCTCGTGCAACAGGAGAACAAGTCACATAACAAATCACAACTAGGTCTATACAGTAAATAGAAGTACCTATACTATAACCATTGTTTTTATTTGCTGGTATACTCACCTTCATTTTCACTGCTTGTTCTTATGCCTTTTGAACTTGCTTCTGTACCTTTAGTTTTATCAAGGTCATCTTGGTTATCTTCAGATCCTCTCTCCTCTTCATCCTCTTCACCAACATTTTTATAGTTGGGTCGTTTTTGCATCCTCTTCTTCCCCTTCTGTTTATTAATTTCAAGAGACCTCTCAAGTGTTTCTGTTGGTTTGATGAAACATCTGATACTGGACTTTGCCTGTAAATTTGAAGAGTTTACACTGAGTTACAGCAAGTATTTTTAACTGTTATTCATAAAGAAACTTCAGTTCATACAAAACATGGGGCTTAGAATGTAAATTGGCATACTACTTACAAATCTCAATTCCGTTTTAAAATACAAAAAAGCAAGTTGTATCAAATCATCAGTAGCACACACTACCTAATAACATACTCTGAAGATTCATCATTAAAAGTATGCCATCTTGAGACAAGAAGATACAGAACTACATATTTCATCAATAGAAGTTTATTAGATTGTTTCCCCCTTCTTTGAACAGGTAAGATAGACAGTGCACATAAAACTAAAATACCTTTTGTAAAAAGGATGGAGGCAGCAAAATCCTAAGCGTGTGTTGACAGTAGTGTATTAATATGAAATACACCCTTTAAAGGTCGTTGGCAGTAGCAAGGACAAAACCCAATGCTCTATGCCACAAGTTTTTTTTTTTTTTTTTTGTTTTGTTTTGTTTTGTTTTGTTTTGTTTTGTTTTTTGAGTCTTACACTTCCCTCAACATCAAACTAATCCTTGTATCAACCAGGAACAAATGACACCGTCAATAATCCTTTTCAGGTCTCCAGATGTTGACCTACCCAAGTCTAGAAAATAAGTTTCATTTGTTAGACTTAATTTTACTTGTGTTTTAGTCAAAGTTATCACTGGCTTTGGACAAGATGACAAACAGTATTCAGTCAATATCTGATTTTCCTGACTATTAAGTTATGGAGCCAGAAAGTAAATTAAAATTACAAATTTCCAGGAGTCTGTGCCATCCTAACACAGAATGATGTATACTTTGTAGAAAGAGACCAAGACACTGCAACAAGTTCTGCAACTAGAAGGACTAACAAAACTTGGTTTTCTACAATTTTGCAGCTTACTTCTGAGCTGTGTTGCTTAAGCTCCCTTCTCACTTGCTAGGCCTGCCAGCTGGATTACCAGAGTACAGTACAAACATTGATCAGCCAAACCTCTCTCACTGAAGAGTGAAACACATGGACTGGGGGCATCCTGCCAGCACAGGTTTATGCTAAACAAGACTGCTACAGAAACTCCACTCCCTTTCAGAGCTTAACACTTCAATCACATTTAGCTGACACTGGTTAAAGGGTTTAAAATTTTAGGAGGGCAAGAGTAAAGAAGTAAGACTAGAGTAAATACCAAACTGAATCTCTTCTTTGCCTCAGGTGACTCAAGTACAATAAGCATTGAAGAGACCTCAGGGAAAAAGTTTGGAAAAATCCCTCCCTTCACTTAATAAGGAACCAATGTAAAAACCAAGAGATTAGGGAAAGATTAGGGAAGAAGTTGTCTACAAGTTAAAAGGCCAAAATGGTTCTTTGAGTCTTGTGATGTTTTGCAAAGGTTTTATAGAAATCTTGCATAAGTCACCTTACAGTTGGCACTGAAACAAACCACATAGGAGGAAGAACTTCCTACAAGACCAAAAAACCCCATAATATGAAATCTAGTACACATGTCCCCCAGTAGCCTCTCTGATAAATTTTAGTCTTATCCAACTGCAACACAGGATGACCAGGTTACCTTTTATTGGTGGCTTCTGGTCAGAAAGGTTGTAAGAAAAGGGAAGAACACCTTAACTCCTGTTCTTCAGGGAAATAACAGTAAAGTAGCATGCATGTTGCATAATGCATTTTCCCCTTTCTGCATTCACTTCTTACTTCTGCATTGCTTCCTAGAATCTTGTAGCTACTTTCTTTATACAGAATGTTAACTTGCATTTCTAATATGCTGTTGGCCACATGAGCAAAGTAACACAAGAGATCAGTAGACAGTGATATGCACTGAGTCATGGTCTGTTCCATATAAAGAATGTTGAAAAAACCCCTCTACACATATATTCTGTTCTGCTAAACACAACAAGGCTATGTATTTAAACCATTCTAAAATCTGACTTAAAATTCATTTGACTACTATATGGTTTATTACACAAGTTGATTATACAGCTTGAGGTTACTGCTAATTTACACTTCTAAAATATCTTTCAAGCATATTTTCAGTGATGGTTTGTCTTGTGCAATGTGTGTTTGTAAGATAAGGCAGTACCAGTAACACCTTTTACGGGAAGGGGAAAGTAGGTTAAAGAAGAAACAGGCACTGGGCAGAATTGGCCCACATCTGAATTATGCAGGAAAACAGATCTCACAGGAAGTCAGGTAAACCTTGGTGTGATGTCTGACAAGTTTAAATACATTCTGCTGGCTATACATAATCAACTCTTATTGTGAGATAAGGGGTTGTATTTCTTCTGATGACACCTAAAAACAGAAATACAGGGAAAAAATATGGAAAAATAAAAGTGTATCTTAATTTGCTATACTTTGAGGTGGAGAACCTGTTCAGTGGAGGTCAAGCAATCATTACTGCTCTATGATGTTCAGCAGATCTCCATGGGTAGGTTATTGTCAATTCCTAAGACATGAACTGTTCCTGTCGTGACAACCACCACTGCTCTTTGTCCTAAATCACTCAGGGTATTTTGCATTTATACACAGCAATTGCAACCCTTCTCAGCTTCTGTTTTTGTTAAGTGTTCTTTACTCATTTAGTCTCCTAGGAAGAGGACATGTGACTCTGCTTCTCGTAATCTCAGTCCTTACTGTGTTTCCACTTTACTTCACCTTAATAGGAAGATGAACATAGATATGAGCTTCTACTTACTTCAGGTTTTAGAAACTGTCAGTTACACTTCAGCTTAAACATATCAAGACATCTCAGTTACATCCCCAAAACAACGAGCTGAGGAGATTATCAGAGTGGTTATCATGAGAAGTTAGAGCAAAAAGGAAGTAAAAGATAACTTTGGGTCTGATTTACGAATAAACACAATTCTGCACTCAAATAAAAAGCAAATTAAAAAACTTACTCATCACTTTTCTCTATCTCAAAACAAGTAATTCTAAAGTAACTTCTGAAATAGTTTCCAGTATTCAACAGAAATTTGCAATTTTTTTGCAACAGAAAACACCACAGTAATAACTTAGCAATGATACTGATACACCTTATGGTCCAAAGAACAGGCCCTGAAATGGCTCACAGTGCTCAAAAATCAACTTTCTGCTCTGTCTCATCACAAAGAAACAAGAAACTGTCTCACCTTGACTGTGCCTCCATATCTACAGCTGACTCACTGCACTGAGCTGTGTATCAGTAGAATATACCAAGCTCTACATGCAGCAGTTGTTCATACACATTGACAGAGAGCAGCTCACATGACAGCTCCTCTCCCTGGAAGCAGGGCATGGATCTCCTCTGGTGAAGATCACCCCACTCTTTCTGCACATAACCAACCTCCACCAGTGGGCTTTCTCACAGTACAGGTTTTCCCCTCTGGGGTTTCATGGAAGAATACAGTTTAATTTACTCCCATTGAAGTTTTTCCCCTATCCAGCACTCTGCACTCTCTGTAACAAAGCTCCACCTCCAGCAGTTTCTCTAAGGGGCCACTGCAGAAAGCCAAGGTTCTCCTATTTACTACCTGTTCAGATAGGACAGAACTCCCCATTTACATACTGTGAGGACATATCTTTAAGTCCAGTAAGAAGCAGCTACCTAAAGAGTGTTACAAACATAAGAGAATAGATGAACAGGAGTTTACAGGGAAGCCCCAGTATTTCTGACATTAGTGTAAGCACACAAACACACACTGTAGGTGTTTTGTAACTTTGTACAGTAACTATGACAGGAAAAGAAAAAAATCTCACTTCTGTAACAACTGGTGCTCCACCCTCTCGCCACAAATTTCCTTGTAACAAAGCTGCTTCTGCACAAGTCACACACAACATTCAGTGTGCAGCCAGCAGGTCAGACATTTCCCAACACAAGTAAGGGATTGTTGTATCTTAAGCATTCAGTCAACTCTACCATTCTACTATAGTTTTTTCTAAAATACATTCTAAATATTAAGGTTAACAGAACAAAATACCAGAAGCCAAAAGCTACTGGATAAGATCTGCCCACACAGCTTCCAATGCACAGAGGGAAGAAATTTGGAAAAGCTGGTTTGCGTGATGGAAGAGTTGAAGCATCTGCCCCTTCAGCTACAGCCACTGCTGGGAAAGAACATGCATGAGAATCAATCTACTGCTTGTTATAAATTAAACATTTGGTCAGCAACTGTTGACCAGTCATTAGGGGACATGTTCAACTTTTAGACAGAACTACAGTCAGAGCCCTCTTAAAGGTCATACCCTTTTCTTACTACTCTCCCCCAAACAGGCCTTTAAAAAGTAACAAATAAGCATTTCACAAACTGTGAAACTCACAACAAAAGGGAAAATATATACATGACACTTAGGAAACCAGTAACAACGGCATCTAGCAACATCTACACAGGACTGGATGTGAAGGTAAAAGGGTAGTGACTAAGTGACAGCCCTCCCACCTATCTGAGGCTGGTCTCTTCTCTCACATGCACACGGATGCACTTTTTCAGAGATGATCAGCTTTACTGCTAAAACACTTAGAATGTTGAGAGGAAAGTCTTTATTTACATCCAAGCACAGAAGACCGGATGACAGAAGTGTCCCATCAAAATGATGATCCAACAACAAAAGCTGAAGTCTATTGCTGCTCTTCTAAACACACACACCTTGGTTTACCAGTTTCCAATACCCGATTTTCTTTGCCTTTAAAACATTACAATTAAAGACAATTGGCCACTTACTGAGTTTTTCTGTATATCTTGCTCAACCTTAGAAGAAAACACTGAGAGGTCACCATTGAGTATAACCTCAGCCAAGGAGTTCACCAAAGGAGCATAATGTATAATTAGAAAAACCTATTAAAAGAAGAATGGAAAGAAATATCAGACATATTTACAGAATACATACAGTTTTACAATTTCACTCACTGAACAAACTTCTTTGACCTTCTTAAGTGCTATCTGTGGTTTATATGTAAATATAACTGGTAGCACTGATTGTTCATTAAATCTACTTTAAAACACAGGAGACCATAATCGTCTTTACAGCTATTTGAACTTTCTCTACCTTTGAAGATACCTAGTTTTAATAATTGTTCATATTCTTCCCTCCTTTTCAGACATGTAAATTCTCTCTCCTTATCAGCTTTGAGATGAAAGCTGTGTGATACTCCAGCAAGGAACTCAAAACTGCCCCAGAAATTACTTTCTTTTTTAGAAACAACACAAACTGATTATGGTGCACAGCATCCATGGATCTTCCATGACAACAACTGGGTGGATTCCAGGAAGTTCTGTGCTGTGCCCACAATTGCTGTGCAGTGATTCATGGGTAAATGCCGTGCAATTGGCTGAACTGGATCAGAAGGAGCTTTTCTGGCTCTGAAATTGCAACAAATTAAGGTCTAGTGACAAAGTGGCTCCACAAGGCAGGAGTAAGGGTCATACTGCTGGGAACATTAAAGTACTTCTCTAGAAACTTTGGTGCTTTAACAGAGCTCTCTGTTTACATCAATTCCTCTATTTTGAGCCAAGGCTTACAAAAGCGTGGGCCAGCAAACAACTGGCTTCTGGACAGAACCAGCTCAGGTCCAGTCACAATAACCTTCCGCCAGCTTATATCCCTTCTCTTCACAGGCATATCAAAGCTGGATCCCTAAACAGCTGCAAAATTCCCAAAAAATTTCTAAGTCATTAAATCTAATCATTGTTTTGACAATATTTAGCTCAATGTTCTCCACAGGTTTTCTCATTAAAGGCAGCACCATTACAGACCTTCAAAAGGGAAGTGATTATTAGCAGGTGGTGCTGACCCATGTAAATTTTGGAAAGTCTCATCACACTTCCAAAATGCTTTGAAGAACCTCCAAATCACTTGAGCTTCTGCCAGTCCAGAAAGTGTTGCTCGATTGTACACAGGTCTGTTTTGGTGTAAGTACATCACATGTTCACTTTGGGAACAGGGGAGGAAAAGTCCCAGCAGTGGATTTTCATTTGCCAACATGAGTCTCTCAAGCACTTGCCTCTAACATATCAGTAGTGCCTAAAGTGTACCCCTGGTGTCAGTAACAGAAATAGTTTGCAAGGTTTGTCAGATGCTCAGTGCACAGCTTTTCAGATCCCACTCCATCACAGACAGACTCTGGGTTAAAAAAAGGTGGAAAAAGATGCATTTCTGCCAGTTGCAGAAACAGCAGCTTGATTTTCTACATCACATCCCATTCTGATACACAGAACTTGTTCTCAATTCTTTATGACTAGTTCCATTTTCTTTTTTAAAAAGAATGAAGAACATAGATACAAATCTTGAAGTGATACCCAGTCAACGCTTCCACTGAAATCAAAAAGGTTAAAAAAGGTCAACTCATACAACCCTACAGTGCAGATCCCTTTAGTTATAAGAAGCTGTTCCTCCCACAGCTTTGTCTGTCGTAAATATCACCACAATTTTTTAGATTTAAATTAAGGAGCATGAAATTATATTATCCTGAAAAAAAAAATCTAAAAAGAAAAAAAAAAAATCACACTTTTAGTAAAGCTCTGAAAAAAAGATGAAATTATGGGTCAGACAATAATAAAAGGTATTGAAAAACCTTAAGTTCAAAGAAAAAGAAATATAAATTCTATGAATACAAGTCAAAATTATTTTCAGGGGGTGTAATTTAAGAAAACCAGTCTCGCAGCAATGCACTGAAGCCTACAGAGAGAAAAGATTAATTTTCTGCACAGTAAAAAAATCTACTGTAAAACTCTTAATTTGACAATAAGTTCCAGAAAGAAAAGGAGGTGAGACTGGTAGGAATAAGAAATAACAAGTACTTAATTACAGATTTAAGCTACAGGCATAAGGAAATTCAAATTGTGAGAAAGTGAGATTTTGGTACTGGTGATTTTTGGGGTTGAGTTTTCAAAGAGGAAAATTCAGACCTGAAACTGCTACAGCTCAGGCAGATTCAAAATGCAATAAAGCATCTATTTAAATTTCACCTGCCATTGTACCAAGTTCTGTCCCAAATGCTGCCCGACTCTGTTATGCATCATTTGTCAGGTGGTGACAATCCATAGTCATGGAATGCTCTAGAGGTTACCCTGTGCTATGGGAGCCTCAGAGGAATGACAGTAACTCAAATAAGAACCTACTTTGTCTGCCCATAAAAACACAAAAGATTTTGCTTTTTTTTTAATAGAAACTGAAAGGTTAAAAACTTCTTCTGCCAAAGGCAAATTGTCTTTAATGGCTTTGCCAAAAATACAGTAATTCATAAACCATAACAGTACTGAAAAACTTATTCTGATACACAACAAATATTTAAAACACTTACTTGAGACAGAAGATAGAGAGAAACTTGCAGACTTATTTTTGGACGCTCTCCACCCTATGGGAAAAGGTTATGAAAAATGCTGATTTATTTATACAAAGTTAAAGCCATTTACACTATTTAATAATTCATTTAAAATGTTTAATATTGCATTATTCCACATTCTGCTACAAAATATTCAGAAAGCATTGTTCTTTTAACATTCACTGCTTGTGAACTATTTCGAATGGAGACTCCCTGAACAAACACATCCCTTACTGCAATTGTTTAAAAAATTGCTATTAATTACTGTCTTTCATGGTCACTTCAGTAACTGGAATTTAAGAGGTGAGCATATGAGAAGTACATTGGTTTCCACTACGTTACTATTCTTTCAAAAAGTACTTCTCAGTTAACATTCATTAAAATCTGCTTTAAAAATCAGCTATTCAGAAACAGTGAAACATTATCCATATCATAAAAACATGTTCTTGGCAGACACTTCTTAAATCAAGTAAATAACATTGGGCAAAAATACTTTCAGTGTTAACTTCAGCACAACAACACTAAGTTTATAGACCAGTGGTACTGAAAATGTTTCTAAAAATAAATCAGTGATACTCTAGAAAAATCACCAAAAAAATTCATCAGAAGGTAGGAGCAGCCCAATTTTATGACTGCAAATATCTCCAGCCTCGTGATAACAGAAACCTGCCTGAAAATGGGAGGACAAGCAGATTTTTGTACATGGAATGAGTCAAAGTAGCTGAAATGAAAGTAAAAGTCAGGAAAGCTCCTGTACTCTATCTCAATGGTCTTATCAATGGCAAGACAAGAGGCCGATTGTTAATTCAGTCTTCAGTGCACATGCAACATATTGAATTTATTAACTTGCAAGAAACCTGATCTAATGAAAGCATGCTGAAATTCCAAAGCATTGTGATCTTAAAAAAACCCCACTACAGTACAAGAAGAGGGGAGGGAAAAAAAAAAAAAAAGAAAAAAAAAAGAAAAAACAGAAATTAACCACACAGTGAATTATTTAATTTTTTTAAAAGACAACTGAATGCAGAAACTTGTGCAGGTTTTAAAAGAACAGTTTCTATTTCATTAAAAAGTAGCTCTTCACCAAATTTAAAGGCTATGTCTTAAAAATAAATTCAGCTGTATCACATTCCAGCACAGCTTCTCTGCAAATCAAAGAATTCAGCATCAAAATCAAAAGTTTGTATTTTCCATTGGTACAGACTTTAACACCATGGAAAATTTGCATGTATACTGTGAAAAGGTATTATAACCTGCTTTTGCCAGAAGACAAGTTACCTTATCAGAAAAGGAAATCACACGTCTCCCAGTGTCAGAGAAATTTAAACCCTGTTCTGAATTCACAGTTGTTCTTGTCTGCACTACTGTCAGCTTTTAACCACCACATCATTCAAAGCAGTACTTCTTTGGTGAATAAAACTGAATCCATTGTGCTCCTAAATTTATTTTCAGGGTATTTCCCTGACAGTCACCTTATTGAAGCTGTTTCATGTAAAACACACAAACACAGACAGCAACAGTATTAACCCTACTACAGCAGACACATCCTGAACAAATCACTATGCTGAAAGCAAGAAATAGCTTTGAGAATTAACTGTTTGCAGATATTAGCTTACCTTATCTTGATTTACTAATGAATACACGTAGAGGGGAAGAAAGAGTCTATTAAGCAGGTGGTCTGTCAGCACATCGTTTAAAAATTCACAATTAATGATGAGGATATCATTAAGGTAATGCAGATGATCAAGATGTTCTGCTACGAGGTCACTCAGTTTGCCCCTATTTCTGTGCCTGAAAGAGAGAAGAAAGAAAGAATCATACATTAGCAATTGTGGAAGTCATAAAAACCTAGGTAAAAAAATTAATGTGCATCCCCGCCACAGATCACCTTGTGCAGACAGACTGCCTGGAGAAGATGTTTCAGTAAAGTCAACTAATGCAAGCAGCAAGCAGAGTTCAGGCTTATTTGTGTTTTAGGATGCACATATCAAGTTTTTCTTCACTGACAGAGGCTTTTCACAAGCCAACCACAAAAAACGGTAAGATCTGTTCCCAAAAATGAAAGAAGAATTCTGTGTTGTATTTAACATCTACCTCTTCACTTTAAGAGAGCAAGCAACAGACACCCACTCCAAGGTGGGGGTGGCAAGGCAAACCCAAAATAACCTGAATCACAAAATATTTCTGTAGTTGATAGTGGAATATTACACAGTTATGTCAGGTCTGATAAAGTTCACCTTTCCAGTTTAAACTTTTTTCCTAGAATCTTTTCAGAAAGATCTTTTTCTGAGATGATACGTAGTAAAGGAACATTAAAAAGACAAAGATTATAAGATTGAGAAGCACAAAATACCTTGCTTGCCTTCTGGATAGCTACTAAATTTAGCAGAATTAAAGAGAGATGAAGAAGAAAAAGCATGTTGCCAAACACTAATTGACATGTAGGGAAATTAGCACAGATTGGGCACACAGCACCAGTTGTTAACTTACAGAATCACTAAAAGCTTTGAAGAATGAAAAGCCTGAACTGTCTACAAGGGAACATATTCAAAAACTGGACTACTACAGACAAAATAAGGAGAGCTTTAGCATCTGGGAAAGACATTTCCATTCAATACCCAGCACTTGTAAAAGCTTACTCTTCATCAGTCTGCACACAGTTATCCAGTTCTATCACGTGGCTGCCAATAAACCAGACGAGGTTGGAGAAATAAGGAACTGCAGTTTTATCTCGAATGTAATGCAGCATAGGCTGGTTGTCCACTGAAATCATTAAAAAGAATCATGAGTTGCCAGTATTTTTTATTGTTCTTTAAGAAAAACAACAAAGTATCTTCTGAATTTTGACGACATGCTGGCTTTCCACATGAGAATATACCTGACACGATCTTATGCGTGAAATGGAATCTATACAAACGTCATATCAGCTCTTAGCTGGCTTGAATGAGCCTAATATTGATATATTTACTTATGTCTGAAGATAAACAAATCTAGTGGAATTCAGAGAGGTTCTTTTAGCACATTATTTATTAAAAAGAAGAGAAAAAAGCACAAGAATAAAGCAGTAATGCTGAGAGTCAAGCTAGTTAGACTTACATGACACTGCATTAAGGAACACAGGAATCATCAGTGAAGGAAGGGCAAAAGAAACAGACAACAGTTAACAGGATTAGGAACTGGGATAGTGACATCCTCTAAAAGGGTTAAAAAAGCTAAAGCACAAAGCATCTAAACTAAAGGATACAGGGTAGGTGTTAGAGCAGAATATATGCAAATGAATAGTCTGAGAATTATCAAACCTGAACATCTGAGCTGTGCTTTTTCAACTCTAACCTTTACATCACTACAACAACATTCAATGAAAATTCTAGACATTTTTTCCATAAAAATACTTAGGCACATAACTATATCACAAATAGGATATGAAGCCTATAATTTTCTCTTTTTGTGAGCTCACATTTGCATTTACAATTCCTTGAAGACCAAGTACCAAGTGTGTATTTCTCAACATACAATAGAAAAATATTTTGTCCCTTGCAGCCAATACCCTGAAGACCCTGCTATGCAAACTACCCAGTCATTTGCAAAGCAAATTGCTCATTGCTTTAAAAAAGATCTTACACTCTTCTGTAAAGACTGTCATCAAATCATTATTTAAATTACAGAAAGTTGTGTAAATTCAACATGTAATTTAACTTAAAATGCATTAAAGAACAAGAAGTCCCACATGAACACATTGCATAATACTACCCTACAGCATGCTGATTTCAGAGGTAGAGGTTTTGAATAAACAACCATTTTTCTACAGAGATCACTGTGATATTTTCAGCTAATTAAAAACTTAATATACCCCAAGAAAAACTTGGGGGAAGTGACTTTTGGACATTGTCTAGTCTAAACCCATTCTCAAAGAGGCTCTAACTTCAACCAGGTTGCTAAGGGCCTTGTTGAGTTTTCAAGATCTCAAACAATATGGATGCCTCATTTTCTCTGGAAAACCTGCTGCACTGCTTAACAGTGAAGTTTCAGGTTTTTTCCTTATGTCCTACTGGAATGCCCAGCACAGGAATTTGCAACTGTCCTCCTGGCCTTCATTGAGCACCTCTGGGAATAGTCTGGCTCTTCTTAAGACTGGGGTGACTGCAGCACCCAGGAGTTCTACAGTCAGATTCTAACGCACTTCAAATCCAAAAGGAAGGGATGTAGGTTATTCCTTCATACACTATAAGCTCAATTTCATCAAAAAAAGTTGTTTGCATTCTTAAAACACTTTGGTTTTGGGGTTGTTTTCTGTTTGTTTACTTTTTAAATACAGTCACATTCTGATCTCTGTTAGAAGGGAAGCTAAAGTTCCTTGTGCATGCTTGATAGCTTGGGGTTTTCTCAACAAGTTTCACTGGTGAGGAAATAATGTAATTTATAAGCACATACTGTAGGTTTGGGATAATGTTTCATAAAAGTCAAAATGTGTACCTGAAGCATGTCAAAATGCTAAGCTTCTCAATCTCATAAAACAGAAAACCCTCAAATGTAAATAACTGAAAATTAAACTACAATCAAACAAGATTTGTACACATGCCCTTTTTAATATATAAAAAGCATACCTTTGTAGACATTTAAAGTTATAGTCCTAACAGCAATCCTGACCATGCTTTCGGGGTGGTTAAAAAATTTAATAGCTTCAGTGTACAAAGCGAAGTCATTAGTGTGCTGTAACAAGGGGAGAGAAAGCATTTATTCATTAAACATGTACAGGATATTTGTTGGGATTCTGTATGAAAAATGTTTTCTGTGCATTAATATGGTATTTTTACCTTCTACTTAAGTAATGTGAGTTTACAATGCACAGTCAGCTGCATTTGTAGCTCTGCATTAAAATAAACTGCTTTAAGCATCAGAGCTTCCCACGATAACTGAGCATATACTCAGTGCTTTTGTGCCCTCTTCTGGCAAAAAGCAGAGTGGAGCAAGGAAAAACCGATTTCAACTTTGCCCTTTGATTACTCAGGTTTTTTGGACTTTGACTAAACATCTTAGAACGAAGTGATGCAACAGAAAAGACCCTGCTTACAAAAGCACAAGAAAACAAAGCATAAACAAGTCGAATTCTCAGGGCAGTAAAATTCAGAACTCTTGAAATGGTTCAATATAACACTAACTTCCAGATTTTTATTTTTTTATAGTTGTATGAGGACAAAGATCTTCTTTACCATGCTTCTGCAGAGATCCCCACAAATGAATCCTCAAATCACTGGTATTATCATTATAAAAATAAAGGCAAGACATTATGAGACAAGAGACTAAATAGAGTATGTGCCACACTGCTATCAATTTCTAATTCAAGCCCACTTATCATTATACTGCAACTTTCTTCACTTACCTCGTTATAAAAGAAATGTACAGTATGATTGTTGAGCTTCAGGGAAAGAGTTTTCAAAAACGATATGTAATATGCCATGATCTCCTCATCAGAAAAGTCAAATTTGTGAACAATAATAGAATTTACATAGTTATTAGAGAGCAGGTAATCTGAAAAATAAGAGATAGGTTAACAGAAAAAGATCATTATGGTAACAGGCTGTATTTAAGATACCAGATAGCAACAAACTACCTGATGCTTGAAGATACCAGTTTTTAGCCAAAAAACTCATGTGATGGCTTCAAGCAGTAATATAAAGGAATTGTTGCTTTGTTTGTTCCCTACAAAGGTACTTTGCTATTAAGAACAAGACAACTAAGAATATACTTCACCTTCCTCAATTCATGTAGGCTCTGCAGTAACAACTCTCTTTTCCTCCCCAAATCCTAACTCTCCAAGGTTTGAATACAACTTTCCCTTCATGATAGTTGTGGAGTACATGAAACTAACTATTAATTCTCCATCCTCTTCATATTTTTCCAAAAACCTTGAAGCAAATGCCCATGGTTGAATGCCAGCACCAGTGATGTCAGAACAGTGCCAGTACAAATCATACAGCACAGCTCCACCACATGATCTGCAGCAGCAAGTGAACATTTCAGATCACAACTGACTTGAAGAGCCCTTGAAATACACTCAGTGCTTCAGCAGTACCAAACAACTACTCCTGTACTACTGAAAATTTACATTAAAAGGGATTTTGGAGTCAATTTACACTCTATGTTGGTAACATTCAATTAAAAATATTGTTAGTAATACATACAGTTCTGCAAAGGGCTACTAATACTAAATTTCATTGAATGAAAGGGGATTCAATCAAATCTTGACCATTTAATTCTAAACAGTTTAGAAGTTGTGCCCTTACACAGTGATGTTTCATGACTGATGTTCTCAAAAAGGATGTTGAGAGTCTGCAGCAGCTGCACACACACATAACGACCAGACTTCTGGCGCAAGATGTTCAAGAAGAAAACAAACATATTCTTCTCCAAGAAAAAGCTGAAATAAAAGAGAGATGGCATTAAGTCACATGCTGTAAGTAAAGGAACATAATGACATAATTTGGCCAGGGTCAGGGATGATTCAAGGCAAGTTTAACAAACAGCATGTTTTGCATTTCTGATGAAAGAATTATTTTGCGAAGTTATATCTGTATAATAAAATAATATCTTCCAAAAACTTTATGTATTAAACAAGGCAGCTTAAAAATTCAAATTATGTAAATTTGAAGAATTTTGAATTTGAAATCAGGGCCTTTTTAACTGTATTTTAGTATACTCAACTTATCAGGCAGCTTCCCTGCCTTAAAATCATAATTTGGAAGGGGAAGGCCTCTAAATGAAGGTTACATTTTATTCACGTGCCCCTTTTAAGCTAATACACTTTTTCTTTTCAACACTGTAGACCTTATTTTTGATCCACTTTAATTATTTTTTCCCACACCCAAATAGGGATTTCATGGTTTATTATACAATTCAAACAGAAGTGAACACTTGCAGTGTTTTTAAACCAGAAATGCAATACAAGAGAACAATGTGGACTCTTTCCTACCAGGATATCACAAATACAAATCTATGAAAATTGCTTTCAGAAAAAACTCCTCATTCCTAAAATTCTCCCAAGCAGAGAAGACAGCGAGGAATGTGACAGAATTACAGTATAGATATGACTAATCAGAATAATTTTCTTGGTCCACATCATAACCAATTCATGCTGAAATAATCTTGTAACAAGAAAACCAACCACTCCCTAGAAAGGTAATGAAAACAACCAAACACTTCATCTTTTCTTATCTCAATTACAAATTGCCTTTGTAAAAGAGTAAGTCTTTTGAAGCAAAGGCACTAAATACTGTCAGATTTGCAACTGTATCTGTTTTGAAGTTCATTTTTCTATCACCCTATTTTACAAGGATTAAAACAACACCTGACTAAACCTCTAAATATCATAACTAGAATAAGACATTTATTTGTGATATCTTAGGTAAACTGAAGTGAACAAATTGAAGTAATACGATATTAATAGATGTATTAAGTAAATCTGGGCACTAAAATCAGTTAGTTTGTATTTATATCAAAAGAATGGAGAGTCAAACAAAACCAGTACACGAAAGTGGCTCTGGACTTTGAACATATTTTAAAATAAACAAATTCTTGTATGATATGAACATGATCCTGCTACAGGACAGGGCTTTCTACACACATTCAGGATATACAGTCTTGGAAGAGTTAACTTTTTGAACTAGAACTCTGTACAACTCTAAGCATTCTTTAAAAACAGAAGCAGAGTCCAAACTGCTCCAAGTACTCACTCAAACACTGAGCTGTCATTCTGGTCCCCCCAGATGAGGATCTCGGTTATGGATCGAATTGTCTCCACCAGCAGGTTTCGGTTGTGATCTGTTACTGTTGTGTTTTTAGTCAAAATATGATACATGTACCTAAAAGAAAAAATAAGTACAAGTAATATGCTGTCCTGACACTTTGTCTTTAGTAATTGTAACTTAATGTAGACCCACAGATACACACACACTATGTCTAATCATTGTACAGTTTTAAAATCCTTTTAATACTGATGCAGAAAGAAAAGCAATTGTTAAATAGAATATGTGACAAAGGAAACAAATCCCTAACTAGCCAGTTATGAGTGTTTATGCATATGTTAAAATGGGACTAGAAATTGTGTAACACTTGTCCCACAGTGCTTCTTATGTGAATTTCTCTGGAATATGTTGAAGTCACAGGAGTGATGAGTAGGAAGAAGGAGAAATAGAAGAAGCAGGTAAGTATGCAGTAGCTGGTATAGGAAAGTGTAATTGTGGAAAGAGGCACATACAGATCTAACTGGAGAAATCAGATCCCTTCTCTTGCCAGCAGAGATCCTTTACAGAGTCACATCAATTTGATGTTTAATATCAGGACTGTCAAAGAATATTCATTCATCTTGGCAAAGCTTCATCATAGGTCTCTGGCCCCTCGAGCATAGAAATACTGATTGGAAAGGAGGCAGATTCTGACTTTACCATGACAAAGGGTAAGAGTTTAAAAAAAGGATATGTCTGTATCACACAGGTGACAGGAAGCTAAATAAAATCTGAAAGGCTTGTATTCTAAGTCTGAGAATTTTACTCATCAAGGTTAAGCGCTTTTTCCCTCCCCAACAACAAGTTGTTATATCATCATTCCTTCTGTCCCACAAAAAAAAAGGAGGGGGGGTTAATTTTGACCATATTTACAGTTTACTTAAAATTTGCCAAATTTTGTTTGGGGAACCTTCCTCAAACAGTTGAGCTGCCACTGAGTTGGGCAGAGTTTCACAGGACCTCCTGCAAGACACAGTCCATCCCCACAAGTCATGCAGGGAGCCATTATCATACTACATAGACCATCAGACAGCAAAGGAAAGAGGAGGAAAAAGAGAAGATGTAGCAGGAGAGGGGGGAAAAATTGGTTTTTCATACATAAAAAAAATATAAGTAAAAAACTAAGTAAAAAAAAAAATCCTCTCCCTCTTGATGGTGTTTTTTTTCCCCTCATAAATCAATACTCATTTTCAAATTCAGAACAGAAATTGCTCAGACTGAAACCACTTCAGGAAAAGTTGATTCACAGCTACCTCCTACAGTCATAATTGGCTGGTCACGTGCAGTACCATAACAGTCACTAAATAGCCAGCCAGAGAGCACCTGCAAATCCTCTTCCACTAATCCAAGGATCACGGTTCAAGATTCCTTCTGTGGCAACTGACAGTGGGATGGCTCACAGTGAACACGTGAGAGCTTAAGTCTGCCCATATATGAGAATTCCCAGAGTTTCTAAAAGAGCACATGGCACAGGAGTCCCACAAAACCTTCCCATCGTGGCACTATGTGTATTATCAGGACAGTGAATCAAAAGACAAAGCACAAACTAAGTCCCTGCTCTGAGCTTGCAGCAGTTAATGAAGCAGAGATGGCAATTAGATCAGTTCATTCCACAGACCCCTGGACAATAAGTACTTTTCCTGACAGAGTTAAAGAGAGTAATTATACACCACATTACTTCACATATTTTAGACTGTTTATTTGAAGTCACATATAAATGATTGCATCTGTGGACACATATTTCTCTTTAATCAGTCACATTATACAAGCTTGGAAATTAAGTTTACTCCAGCAGTAGAACTCTGGGAACGGGATGCAGTGGGAAGAATTACATGCTATTACCTCACCTGGGGAGCCTATGGAATATAGAGCACTACAGATGCAAAAAGGAAGAAACATTTAATAGTAAGGAACACATTATCTCCAAATTTATTTACTTAATAAAAGCATTACTGCAAAGTTCCTTAATTTGTTAAGGCACTGATGCACTTAGAGGAAACCTGGGCTTCACTTTCAAGTTATTCCTTTATCTATTTACTTGAAAAGGAATGAGAAAGCATGCACAGACTTCTTTCTCTTTCCACACAAGTAAAATAACATACAATGGCAACACAGTATCACACAAACCCAGTATTTTTATATTTAGACAAATCCTTAAAGCCTCTCTAAATTCTGATTACAGTGGGGTCAAGTTCGTGCTCCAAAACACAAAATCCCTCAGAGTAGGCCTTTGTTATCCCTATATCTGAAGACTGGGTTCAAATAAACAAAAACCCATCACACAGGAAGTGTTAAAGTACTCAATACAACCAGTGGGAGATGCTGCCAGCAACTTAAGAAAACAAACAGAATTCTGAACATTTTTCTCGTAAGAAACCATGCTCAAAGGGGTAACATAAAAACTCATGAATACATACAGTGTGTATTAATGACTTTCCTACTTATTACTTACAAAAATACACTAAAACAGATAAGAGTTTAGAAGTCAAGCAGTCAAATTTTAAACCCCCAGATTTAAGCATAACATGCTTGTCTTTTCACTCTGCTGTAACTATGTAATTACATATTGTTCTCACAGAGGAAACCCAACGCATAGCACAGACAGGACCTCAGGAAATGAATCACCCGTGAAAAGAGACTTCAAGCACACACCTTTATGGACACTGCTTCTGACCAAGGCATGGGAAATGTTCAGCACCCAACTTTAGTGGCACAAAACCTGTTGTGCAATCACTATGCAATTAAAATACCAAGTGCAGAAGCAACAATGGGGAATGTACTTAAAGGTAATAACAGGGCTATGTAAAATACCTTAGAAAAGTACGGTGAAAAATTGCATCTAGAAACAAAGATGCACAAAAATACCAAGTTCTCTGAAATATAATGGTCAGAAGCACCCAGGTAGTGTATAGTTCTGTCTCATCCCTCTCTAGATCACATTTCAGAAGTTGAATTAAATTGTAACTATTTTCACTAGACCAACAGACAGTATAAAACACTTAATACAACCAGTTTCACAATTTTCCTTTAACCAATCCGTTCTATGGCATGTTTGCAGAAAGACTGAAGAGTAAAATTTCAAAAGCAAGCTTCAAAACAAACTGCATTAAAGCTGATGGGAAAGATCCAACATTTACTGACAAAAAGCAGTGACTCTCTTGGTATCACTAACCAGGTGCACTGTTTACAGTTTCGACTAAACTCTACTTTATCCCAGTTTCAAAATAAAACCATTCCCATAAGGTTGACCTGGACAGATTTCACTCCTGTAACACAGCATAAGATACCTTTTACAGGTTGAGTTTATCTGTGATAGCAAGGCTGGGGTGTTATACTCAACTCCTTGACATGGGGTTGAAAAGACTAGAATGCATACAGCTTATCAAAGGATCTTATCTAGACCAGCTTTCTTTCATGACCCAAAACAAAGACTCTCTGCCCTTTTCTCTTCTGTTACTTCACCCACTTCAGTTGCTACCTCAGAAAAGCCCTAAATTTCACCTAACCACTACCTTTGCTGTTGAAATTCATGCAGCCTGGCTAAACAAACGCTTAAAATATACATAGTCTAAACAGATCACAGGTCTTGTCTGTCCTTTCCATATTACCATTTCGGATTCATAATTAAAGAAGTCACATGCAAAAAAGCAAACAGACCAAAGCCAGTATTTTAACAGAGAACTACATTCTTCAATTCTCAGATAAGAAGTCAAGCACAAGCCACAACACTTCTAGCCCAATTTTTGCTGCAAATCGAACAGTGTGTTGTTTTTGTATTCTCTGTGGCTCTGAGAGAACATATGGACACATTTTCTTCTCAAGTCTCCCTCTCACCAGCCTATTTTTTTTTCTAAACTTAAAGTTCAGTTTCTTCAAAATTCATCCTGTATCAGCATTCTTGCTCTATCTTCAAGTGTAATATCAAAGCCAGGCAGTTCTAAAGCTCCACTAGCACTGAGTACCTAATCATGTTACCTCATACGTTAAATAGAACATTCCTATGTTTATATCTGAGCATGACTTCTCCCTTTTTTCCTGCAGTGTTAGATCATGTTGACTTACTAGTCTGACCTACCGTGCAAAATTACTTCTGCAATGCTACTACCTCATCAGTTTTGTATTCATGCACTTGATTTCCCTGTCTTCGGTAAAAAGTAATGCATTTCAGTTAGTCTTGTTCATTTTGAACATTTTTCCAGTTTAGGGACAAGGACCAGAATCCATAAATCATCTCAATAAGGCAACTGCAAGATCCAAATCTTGCACAGTGCATCCTGCTCTTTACTGACAGACCCCATTCACGTCCTCCTTGTAATATCACTAATCATTGAAAACTCTAACTCATTTTTTTTTCAATGAGCTACATATTCCCAGTGATTTCATTTAGAAAACGCTTCCTCTCTTAATGACCTCCTTTTCTTTTTCAGTACAAAGTAGTTATCATGGAGGATCTAATTTTTCTTGCGACAGCACAACACTTAAAATGGAGCAGAGAAATTAAGTTTTTTTTATCCCTTGCCATCCTGCCAACTCTCCAGCGGCAGAGCTAGGAAAGAAAAAAACAACTATTCCATCTTCTGCAGACAGCAGTAACACAGGGATTTATATGGGGCTCCAGGGACCACCGTTACAGTTCTCAAGCAGCTGCCGAGCCCCGCAATCCAGGGCACATGCCCTGGACGCGCCGTGACTCGCCGCTCACACCGACATCCCGCACACCTCCGGCTCTGTCCCGCTTACACTGGGAAAGGCTCCTCGCTTCCACCTCCCCACTACCAGCGAACAAAGTTCTCCCCCAAGAGGAATGTGACATTTCCCGTAGTTATCACCCCTCGCACTCCACTCCGCCGAAGAGTCCGTGGCAATTATTAAAAAATCAAACAGTGAGTGTGACATGACATCACACCACGAGCTGCGTCCGCCCCGAGGACACTCCGGGTCGGACAGGCCGATTTCCGCGGGGTAGACACCGGCCCGCAGCGGCTGCTCCGCCACCGGGACCGCTCAGCGCCCTTCCCCTCGGGAGAGGGCGGCGAAACCCGCCCGAGCAGCTCCGCGGTCGGAGAGCCCCGACAGCCCCGGAGCGCCCCGACAGCCCCGGAGCGCCGCCCGCACCCCCGGCCCCGCACCCCGAGCCCGCGCCCGGCCCCGCGCTCTCACTTGAGGTGGTCCAAGGAGTGGATGCTGCGGGCGGCCTTGCCGTGCCCGCCGCCCACCCAGCTGCGGGAGCGGCCGAACATGCTGGCGGTGAGCGCGGCCCCGGCGGCCCTACGCGCTCATGGCCCCGGAGCGGGGCGGGCGGGCAGCGGCGGAGCCTCGGCGGCGGCACCGGCGCGCACGGCGCACGCGCGGGCGGGGCACGCCGGGAATGCCGGCCCGGCCCCGCCCCCGGACTGCGAGTCCCGGCGGGCACCGCGCGGGCCGGGGCCGCCCCTCACAGGGAGCGCTGTGGGCACTGAGGGCTGGGCCTCGGGAGCAGGTGTCACAGAGTAGTGGGATGGGGCAGGCTGGAAGGGACCGCACTGGGTCATCTGGTCCCAGCAGGGTCATCCCAGAGCACACGGCACAGGACTGTGTCCAGACGGTTCTGGGATGTCTCCACTGAGGAGACTCCACACCCTCTCTGGGCAATCTGTTCCAGTTCTCGGTCACTGCACAGTGAAGAAGTTCTTTCTCATGTTCAGGTGGAACTTCCTGAGCATCAGTTCTTGCCCGTTGCCTCTTGTTCTATTGCTGGGCACCCCCGAGCAGAGCCCGGTCCATCCTCTGACACGTCCATTCAGATACCGATAGACATTGACCAGGTCCTCTCTCAGTCATCTCTTCTCGAGGCTGAACAGCCTCAACTCCCTCAGCTCGTCCTCGTCAGACAAGCTCCAGTCCCCTCGTCATCTTTGTCACCCTCTGCTAGACACACTCCAGGAGCTCCGTGTCTCTCTTGTCCTGAGGAGCCCAGAACTGGACACAACACTCCAGCTGTGTCCTCACCAGGGCAGAGTAGAAAGGCAGGATCACCTCCCTCGACCTGCTGGCAATGCTTTTCTTAAAGAAAATTTGTTCCCTGACATTCCTTGTTCACCTTCCATAACCTAAAGAGAGCAGCTGTGTGGGGTTAGGTCCTGTGCTGTGAGACACAGCAGCGAAATTCAGCTGCTGACATTCCCCTTGCTGAGGTTCTTCCAATAAGGATTTCACTTTTACTTTTGAATCAGCTTAAAAATTAAAGAAGAATGAAGAGAACAGGACTATTAGTGAATGTCGTGACCTAGTTTGGGATCTCTTTTTTTTTTTTTTTTTTTTTTCTTTAACCAGAGAAATAAATTAAGTAAAAGCTGAAGAGTTTGGGAGCCAGGGTTAAAATTGCACCGAAGTTTAACATCATGCCTTCGGTTATATTTTGATAGAGGCATAGCCTTGGTCAGCAATGAAACACCAGCACCGCAGCCGAGAGGGGCCCGCGCCCGCAGCGCTGCGCCAGGAGGGGACAGGGAACAACTTCCAGGGGCGGAGGAACAGCGCAAACCTGCGGGGCGCTGCAGGGCTGGGCAAGGCGAGGGTCGGGCACCGCCAGCCGCCTCCTGTCCCCTCCAGCCCTCGGGCAGCCGCAGCGGGACCCGGCTGCCGGTACCGGTACCATCCCCACCCCGGCGGCGGGTCAGGCGGGGAGCGGGGCGGGCAGCGCGGTCCAGCCGCGCAGGCTGGGCCCGCAGGCGGCGGCAGGTGCTCCCAGCGCGCCTGCGGGCTCCTGCTGCGAAGTTTGCGGGCGGGAGGAGGAGGAGGAGGAGGAGGGAGCCGCGGCGGGACTGCAGCAGCCGCGCTGGAGATGCCGCTGAGGAGCCTCCTGCCAGTGGCGGGGCTGCGGCAGCGCCGCTGAACCCGCGCTGGCCGCCGGGGCCCCTTGTCCTCCGGGGACGGAAGGGACCGAGCCGGCCGCTCCGCGCCACTGAGAGGGTTCGCCTCTTCCCAGGGTCTGGATCCGGCTCCTCGGGGGTTCTGCCCTTCGCTGCCGCCGGGGCTGCGGTCGTGCAGCCCTGCCCCGCTCCCGGCCCCGCCGCTGCCGCCCGCCCCCCCGCGCCGGCCGGGCGGGTCGGTGCCCGCTGCCCCCGCAGCCCCCACGGCTGCATGCCCGCCGCGGTCTCGGCACGTCTGGATTCGGTGGAGTCCTGGGCCTTCCATGCGCTGCTGGTGCTGCCCTATATGTTTTACGTGGGCTTGTTCTTTGTCAACGTGCTGATCCTGTACTATGCCTTCCTGATGGAGTACATCGTCCTCAATGTAGGCATCGTCTTCCTGCCCGAGGATATGGACCAGGCTCTGGTGGATCTGGGGATGCTCTCCGACCCTGGTTCCGTGCTCTACGAGACGGACAGCGAGCTGGATGTCTTTGACGGGTACTTGGAGTGACGCCCCGGGGCGCTCCGAAGCGACCGAGCGGTGCCGCCGCCTGGCCCGGGGCCGGGCGTCCCGGCATGGCCGGAGCTCGGGGGCCGCCGCGGCCCCGGGATGCCCTCGCTGCGTCCCGGCTCCTCCTGCGCAGCATCTTCCCTTCCGAATGACACCCCTCCCTCCCGGTGCAGGGGCCAGAGGGGCAGCCGGGACCCGCTGCCACCGGGCAGGCCCGCGGAGACCTCGCCAGGGAAGTAAGTAATTTCCTGGGGCTCGTCCTGGGCAGGCCCGCGGGGCGCTCCGGGCGGGCACAGCGGGCACGGCGCCGGGACACGCTCCAGCGCAGCTCCCGGCACTGCGGGCACGGGGCCGGGGCCGCCCCCGGCGCTCCCCCCGCCCGGCAGCGCCCGGGGGCCGGCTGGGACAGCGTCCCTTCCTTCCCCCGAGGGCTCATCGAGCCACCGCAGCTGTGCTGCCTGTACAGCTGGGCAGCAACTCTGCACATCCCGTCCTGCAAGCAGCTCTGAATCTAAATGAGCATCCCGGCTAATATTTAGTACAACTCAGAGACCATCCTCGAGCTAGGAATACATCTTAGTCAGCTGCCCTTTAAAACCACTCTCTTGGATCATGACAAACTACCCAGCTCACTGTTCTTCCCATTTTAATTGTAGCACGAGGGTTTACTTATCAATTTCTTGTAGTTCTGAGTGATTCTAAAACTCTGGAAATGTGAGGATTTAGCATTTTAAAATACTAAGATGCATTTGGGAAGAAAATCACTGTTTCTGGCTAGGACTTTCTGTGCCAAATGTATGTTAATGAAAACATTCAGAGTTTAAATTTAAATGTGTTAGCGAATCTGCCAGTGGATTTTTTAGCAAAATACTGTCTGTAAATTTGAAAACCAATTCAGGATACCTCCCCCCTCGTTTGAAATGATGAAAATAGGAAAATTAGCTATAAGATTTCAAGCATAACCTCGGAAAACACACTGTACAAATACCAGTTAACATCAGGCTATTTTAAAGTCTTCTAATTTAGAAAAAAACCCCAAACAAACCTTTCCTGTCGTTCTGTCTTTCATATGGGTTAAAATTATCTCCTAAATATTTCTATTCAGATTTCATATAAAGAAATAGTAGCTGATTTTGGTCAGTAGTTTAGAAGGAAAAACTGGTGTTGGAGTAACATTGATTGCACAAACACAGCTGAACAACACTTGGTCAAAGGCACGTGGGAACATAAGGAGGGAGTGAACAGATTTTGTTGCTACTGGAGAAATCCCACAGCATAGAGTCACTGAAAATGAAACATGCCAACATTTGGTGGTTCATCCCAAGCAACTGGATTAGAATCACTTCTGCTAGAGTGAAAGGTTTGGAGCAGAACAAACCTCCCCACAAAACACTGATGGCTGCTTTTGTGGCTGTCTCCTTTTTCAGCTGGGCAAATAACATACATGCTCTGTATTACAGGAGAGAAATTCCTAAAAGCTAATGGAAATCTAAGCAAAATATTTGGTGTAAAAATCCTTATCCATTTACTCCCGCAAAATACTTTTCCCTCAACTCCAAATCTTATTACTCCAATGCCATTTAATGGGTTAAATGCCATTTAAGGGATTAAAAATACTTTTTTAAAATCACTGTTTTTTCTGACTAAAATTTGCCATGGTGAGTTGCATCAGTTTTCAGGAAGACCTAAGGAGAGCAACAGACATAATTTTCCTCAGTGGATTTTTCCTGTTGTATGAACATATAGTTTTGATGGAGTATAGGGCCTGAGCACAATTCTGTTCAGTGCAGATAAATGGGCTTCTTAGCATTTTCCTTCATATTAGTAAGATAAGCAGATCTGAAAACTTCTTGATATTTGGACTGTAAAACCCTATCATCTCCATATGCAGAAATCAAAATGCAGAGGTCTTCATAAAACTCAGAATAAGTCTCAGTCTATATCCACTGTGAGCTAATGGAGCTCTGCCTGCACAGGTACCAACTCCAGCCTTGATCCTTTCATTTGGAAGCTGTCCTGTTAGATGGTTCCACTGAGAATCAAATCACAGATCCCTAAAGTTGGGTCAGTTCTTAGGCAGCAAAAAGTATGCTATTACTGTGTTTCATATATTTATATATTTAATTATATTTAGAGACGCAGCAGCCAAGCCACAAATTGCATAATTATTTAGCTACCAGGCAAACACTCAGCATGTCACCATGAAAAGGAATTTGTGCTACAGGTTACAGGTCTGGGTTACTGGTTACAGATTTCTTCACTGTTCTGTGCCATTCCTCCTCACCAGTCCCTTAGCAAGGTGGCAGAGGAGGGCCCTAATTTGGGGCTGTGTTTTCTGCTTTGGGAGCAGCAGTAAGGCCCTGAAAGGGAAGATTTAAATTCCTTTGGTGCCTAGCCTGCAGTGACCCGAGGTCGGTATGAGTGTTAATCCCTGCTCTCCACAGCCTGGGAGGGCTCCCCGCCCGCCCTGTTGCCTCGCTCCCAGAAGTGCTGAGGATTCAGGAGATGTTGCAGGGGGAATTTGTCTGAGTTTTGCCAGCAGTGATGAAAAACACATAGGAATCCTCTTTGCATTAAATAGGAGTGTTCTTCATGTGACTCACCAGTGGTTTCTGAGAGCAACCAAAGAGCTATGATTAGCCTCAGCTGAATCCTTGCAGCATCCTCCGTGCCTTTAGAAAGCCTGGAGGTAAGTGGCATGTGTGACAGGGAAACAAAGGAGGGAAATCCCAAGAGGTGATTCTACAATATGTGGAAAGGCTAATTTAGATGTAAAATTAAAAGAACATGTGGATCAGAAAAGCTCTGTTCTCTCTTGCATCAAAACCCTCACTTGAATAAACTCAGTAGGAGCAAAATCATGTCCAAGTTTCTGAGCACAAT